CAATCGGTGACTGGCCACCTGGATCACCTGACAGGAGGGAGCCAGTCTCTGCTGGTCCCAGCCGATCGACAGCCGGTAACACTGCATCTGAGCTCTCCCCCCCGCTGACACCAGCAGGGCAGAGAGGGACTGTTTCTGGCTCTCACCCCCCCCCTCCTGACGCGTTACCGCTGTCACCGTGCGAATGCTTGAGATGTGGTCGGTGATAACTGAGAGAACTTTAATGCTGCCAGAGCGGGGCTGAATTGCAATGACGGTTAAGCTAGTGTCCTCTCCTCCCGTCACCACTATCTCCCAATGCCCTCCCTCTTTTACTCCATCTTTGAGTTCATCCATTCCCTCAGTTTCTGCCAAATCTCCAGGACTTTCAGTTGGATTCTCATTCTTGATTCCCCTTATCATCCCAAGTCTGCACATACATCCAATCCCCCTCCCATGGACACCCTCTCTCAGGCCCCACCCTCCGGCTTTTCCACCTATGCTCAGTGCCCCTCCTGGTGTCTGTGATGTCATGACAGCCCCCTGCTTGATGAAGACCAGAGCTCCGTATCCAGGCCACACCCCTTTGTGGGGCGGCCAGAGACTCCAGGAGCGATGCCCTCCACCACAAGGCACTGCAAACAGTCTCTCTTGCCTCACAGGGTCCCAAACCACAAAGTGGACACCATGAAAGCCAATTATAGCAAACCGGGCTTCTCTTCCGTTATTCTCCGTCCTTTCTTCCTCAGGTCTAAAGCTCTCTTCCTCCTCCGCCTCTTCCACAGGAATGTCGGGTTCAAGAATCAGAATCCTCTCCAGCCACTCCATGCCCTTGCAGGCCCGCTGGACTCGGAGAACCTGCAGCTGAAGTCCATCTTTGTTCTCAACACTCTTTTCTTCAGGTTTTTCTGGTGGTGTTGGATTCACTCTGAAGACCCTCACACAGCCGTCCCTACCCGTGCTGTAGAGCAGCCCCTGGTACTCACACACTGAAGTTACACCCTGTTTCCCATGCACCCCAAACCGGCAGCTTAGTGGGTGAAGCGTTGGGTGTCTGTCCTCCATCATTTCAGTTTGTATGTCTCCACCGCTTCCATTTCCCTCCGCTTCAACCCCTTCACCATCTGTTGGTTTCCTGCCTGTCTGCGAACTTTCAGCAATTATTTTTCCATCTCTCATGTTTTGCTCCTGCTTTCCTCCTTCCTGAAACAAAAGCAGGGACCCTCTCCTGTCCCCACACACCCACAGCAACCCCTGTGACGAGGAGTGGAGGCACACTGCAGCTGTCAGCCAGCGTTTGGCACAGGAGGGAAGGAGGAAGGGAGGAAGGGGTTTCACACTGAGAGCCAAGGGAGAGTTCTCATCTAATTCTACCTTTATACACCAGCGATAGACAAATCCTTCAGCACCTGATGCTAGCAAATACATTTGTTCTTTTGCCTCATGCCAAATAAGGCTATGGATCTTCCCTGAGCCGCCTGTAAGGAGAATCCCACACTGAGGATGAGAGATGGGGAAGACATGTATGGATCCGCTGAGGTTTGCAACAGCACACAAGTTAACTTTTGCTGTTGAGTTTTTCACACTGACAGTTGTTGTTTCCATCACACAATACGATTGAAAGTCAGTAGTCTCCTGCGATACCATCTCCCACTGCCCGTCACTGTATTGGTAAACTGTTCCGTGGTCTGTGCAAACCACAAACTTGCTCTGACTCCATGGTGCATTTGTATCCTCTTCCCCTGCTATACAGACCGCTTTAGGCAAGCCTTGACCGGTAAATCTCAGGTCTGTTAGCTTCTCTGTCGCTGCCTCCTCCGTCGTATCCATCCCCTCCTCGCTCCCTTCCACCCTCCACAACCTCACCCCTCCATCTGCCCCCCCTGTAGCAACCCATCTCTCTCCATCTGCTCTTCCCTCACTGATTGCGAGTGCACGAACCCCGCCTGCTTTGTGTCCCTTCAACGTCCGAACCACCTTGCCCTCTCCAGCCCAGTCCCACACTAAACAGGCCCCATCTTCACCGGCACTGAACACATTTCCTGGGGAGAGACGCACGGAGAATACCCTCGCCTGGTGTCCATATAGGACCCTTAAACACGACGGGTTCAAGTCCCCACACTTCCCCCCAGGTCCTCCTAAAGCACCTACACCCCAAACCCTTACACTGCGGTCGTCAGAAGCTGAGGCCAGCCATCCTTTCTCCTGGAGGTAAGAGATGCTGAAGATGACCCCGCTGTGGCCTAACAGACGTCTCTCCACTGGAGCTTTGTGCTTTGAGTTGCTACTTTCATCTCCTCCTGCTCCAGGCTTCCAGAGGACAAGTTGGTTGAAAACAGTCCCTCCCACTAAGATGGTATCATCCCAGGTTTCATGTACAAGAAGGAGGGCAGAGTACAGAAGACAGCCCTCCAGACAGGAGCGCTGAAGCAGGGCATTTCCTGTCCTGATGTCCAGGAGAAGAGCACTATTGTGGGCTACAGCCACACCGAGCAGGGAGTGTTTGTCTCCGGAGAGCCATCGGACGTCCAGGGCCCAGTCCTGGAGCTCCATGAGGGGACCCAGAATCTCCAAACGCAGATGTTCCCCATCCTGGAGATCCACATGGAGCCTCACCAACCTCACAGCCTTGCCTCCAAACACCACAATGTCATAGATGTTGGGCCCCAAGATGGAGCTCCGTTCTGGGGATTCACAGAGGAGAGGAGATTTAATGGGTGAATGAACAGAAAAACAACATTAAAAAAAAGTAAGTGAGATTAAACTCTTGCCAAGACTGCCATTATTGTATACATCCTGGCAGAAGGGAAACATAGAACATAATCACTAAGTGCAACAGAAGAAATTAAAAATAACAGTGACTTATAAACATTGCCTCATCAGTCTTCTTACCAGCCGCAAGACTCCTAGGTCTTATTCCGTGGATTCTGTAGTTTTGGAGCACACTCAGTGAGGCACAGGCTTTTGGACGATGTTGGAGACTGTACACCGTCAAGACTGGACCCTCACCTGTCAGGAAAGGGTAACGGAAGATTTTGTTTAGTGCATCGTGGGATCCTTCATGGTGTTCAGACTTCTTTTAAAAATAGACACACACACAGCCCCCTTAGAAAGCATTAGCACAATTTCTACTAATGCATTTATAGTTTGACCTAAAGAAATATACATCATAATCAGAATGCACATACGAGTATATGGGAAACCCAATGATATTTCCCTTTTGTACTGCATTTATATTAGTGATGTGTCGGTCGCGAACGAGCCGATTCTTTTGAACGGCTCTTTGGTACGAACGAGGGGAACCGAGTCGTACTTGGTGAGAGCCGTTCTTCTTATCGTTCAATCAAAGTTGGTCCGCACTCACTGCCTGCCAAAATTCACTCGCCTTTTAAAAAGCTTGATTTTGTTCCCCAAACGTATTCTGTGAAGACCCGCCCCTACTCTGATTTGTAGGTTTCAGCACGAGGAGTTAGGTGGGGTGGGTCTTAACGGAATACGCGAGAGAGAGAAGTCATAACAAGTGGTACTGGACAGATAGACGACGTGTTTTTCGGATGTAAAATGAGCCAAACGCGAAAACGCAGCAGCATTTGGATGCACTTCAACCAAAACCCAGGCAGTGATAAAGCGCACCATTTGTAAAGGCAAAATATCCTTTAAAGCAGGGTCAACAAATAATCTCCATCGCCACTTAAAAACACACTACTAATATTAAGAGTTGCGTGAATTTCATTCAAGGCAAGGCAACTTTATTTACTTAACACATGCAGAGGGTAAATTCAAAGTACATTCACTGACATGAATGACATGGATATGGCGCCACCTTGTGTCATGTTTACAATGCAGATTATTGACATTAGGTCTGGCAATGCAGTCAATCATTATCCTGGTGATTATTTCGCAGATAAACCTAGTAACCCCGCCCCCTTTTTAAAAAAACGGCTCTTTTGAACGGCTCTTTTGAACGGCTCTTTGAAAGGAACGGAGCCATAAGATCCGGCTCCCTTCAAAGAGCCATAATTCCCATCACTAATTTATATACAATATCACTTGTACATCGATAGTGCTTCCTACCCGTCAGAAGAAATGCATCCTGAAGAAACTCCAGAGCTGTGACTGGAGCTACCAAGGCTGCTGTCTCCATCTCTAAATGGTTAATAACTTTCACGAAGACACATTACCAATGGTTCCTGAAAGATTCAAAGTTACAACACACTTATTAAAGACGGTAGCATCCAAAAAGATTGCAAGCAAGCAGCGGGGTCCGCAGGCCTCTTAAATATTAAAATGTTTAAAAGTCTACGTTGAGAACAGTTGTCATTAGCCTTTCAGTTAGCAAAACAAGCTAACAGCATGAGTACTTCTCATGTTGTTTGTTAAGTGCAAACCTAGAAATGTATCTTTGCTAGGTCAATATTAATACCGCTACATGATTTACTTACAAACAGGACCAAACGCCTGAAAAAATGTAATTCAAATCTGCATTAAAACATCTTTATTTGCCTTCTCCGTCAGCAATCCAGTACCCATGTGTTTCTGAACTGTCTTCCGTGCCGCATCTAAACCAATCAGGCAACGCTAATGGCTTCCTGGACTCTGATTGGTTAGAAAGATGTACGATGTATTTGTATTGAAGAAAGCAACCCATGTGACCGACTGTCACTGAGTTGTGCTACCTTTAGGTGTCTTCTGGAGAAAAAGAAAGTTGTACAGTAGGCTATATGTGGGGTATTAATTATTTAAATATAACGGGTAGGATATTATTATTTGTTTTTCTGATGATTTAATGATTACCATTATCAGAAAAAAATAATATTTAAGTAAGATTGTAAGTGTAAATACTTCATAAATATGATAACTATTCATACCACAACAATACAAAACAATTGTGCTGGCACACAGCAATTCACAGGAACATCTTAGGAGGTTATGTGAGTTAGCTTAATGCTCTTTTACAGATATTGGCTATTTCTATGTCAACAATTCATAGAGTTATTGCAAGTGACATACACAGTGATTACCGAGTGTACATTGAACGCGTCAGGAGGCAGTGGTTTCTGTAGCAGTGCAGCTAACTTCAGCGTCAGCCATGCCTGGGAAATGTAAATTTCAAGACTCCTGGCTCTCTAGGGAAATTTACAAGGACTGGCTGGTTAAGGAAGTCCAGGACATTCACTTCGCCCGGTGTAGGGCGTGTTGTAAATCAATCAAACTTCAGACCATGGGCGAGGCTGCTCTCACCAGCCATTCAGCGGGAGCTGGCCACAAAGCAGCGGTCCGCAAGCTAGTGGAAGGTACAGTAGCTTAGCATCAATTATATCAAGGGAAACTGCCATGAAACGCGTTTAAATATATATGCATGTGTTTAATGCTGACCCTCCCTGTTTGTCCAGCCTCTTTAATATTGGGTTGTGGTGCTGCAGTTTTGTTTTTGGTGGTGGGTGTGTGTATTTGGCTGCAACAGCTGACGTGAGAGTTAAAAAATCTGTCTCAGGTAATTAACCACAGCTTTCACATCGGTCATGAATTATGAGAATGCATGCATACGATTTTTGGATGACAACAATATAACCTCGTATGGTTGTCATAAACTTCCTCTTACGTTTTAAGATGTTCTATTAAAACAATATTGCAGTGAAGATGAGGAACAGCTGTAGTTGAACATCTGCATCCTGCTGTAGTGTCCTAGTCTAGAGCAGGTGCTACGCCATGGAGAACAATTGCCTAAAGCTCGCACTGTTTTAAATGTAAAAAAATAATAAAAGTAATACTAGAGTGATGTAAAAACAGTATGTTGTTATCATTTCAATTTAAGGTTAACCTATATTTATTACCCCATTATTTTGTGATTTTCCATTATTATGAAGTTACACAAACCTGGTGTAACATTAACTTTAATTTGTTCCCTATTTGACAATTTAACCCCTTTTTAAAAGAACATTTAAGTATTCACAAAACACCATAAATCCATTAGTTTTGCTGTTCTGTGTAAAGAGTCTGCCATCACTTAACTCAGAAAACATTTAAGCACATTTAATCTCTTTTTAATTGGTGCCTGTGAGTTTATGTTGAGCCTGCTAGTTCTCATTATAAAATGTTTCAGTGTTAAACTAACTAACGTTGATCCGAGTTTCAAACCATGGGCGTTGGGTCCTTGAATTTGATGTTAAATGAGGTGTGGGAACCCTGTCCTTATCCTTTTTACAGCAGATTACAGTATTGGTTACTGCCTTTAATGACATGATGCTGCAGTATCAAGCTCAGTCCAACCTGATGAAATAAACCTAGAAAAGAAATCCGGATTGTAACATTTCAACGTTATATTTGTAATAATTGTCTTTACAGAACTCAACCTGAATCTACTTTACTCACAGTGTATTTTAGGCGTATTATTTAGTGAAGACTTCTCTCCCAAAATATTTGTTCTTTTCATTTTCTGTCATGCTTCATGACCTATAGTAAGCTTATTTTCTACTATTACAAATACTAAAAAAGGAGTGCAGTCATGATGCTGTAAGGCGTTTTGGACTAGATATGTGTGTTAGTCTGTAAATAAGCTTGTGTAGATGTGATGTACCTGCCTTAACCAGAGGGAGGCGCTCTGCTTGTTTCTCTGAGACACTAACAATCAGTGCCTCCCATTCTGTCTGTCTCTTTTTCCAATTAGGAGGCAATGTGATGCTGATCAATGCTGCTGGGCAGATAAATGGCAGCGTGAATCGGGTAAATATTTTAAGTGATTGTTTGGTTTTATATTAATTTTAGAGTTAAAGGTCTAGTTATAAAGAACATTCAAATGAACCTGGAGCAGCTCATATCAATGCACAACTATGACTCATAAAATGTTCCAGCAGCGGGAAGTAATCACTCAAAACACACTTTGTTCTCTCCGCCTCAGACTGAAGACAGCAAGGAGCAAGTGGCCATCTGCCTCCAGCGGGACGCCTTGGACAGAATACCAGGCAGCGACTGGGCCGATCAGCACCACAGCCCCACCTCCCACAATGCTGAGCTGCAGGATGCCACATTTCCTGCTGCCTACTTCACAGCACCAGGTACACAGATACATCTCTGCCAGCTGCCACACTCTTTTGAATTATTATGTTTACTAATTACATTCCAATATTAACAAGAATATTACTCTTTGCTGAGAAGTATCACATAAAAAACACTTAATATATAAAGCAAATTTCAAGGACTGCCTACTTCCATCTACGGAATATTGCAAAAATCAGGCACATCCTAAATCGCAACAATGCAGAAACACTAATCCATGCTTTTATCACCTCCAGGCTGGATTATTGCAATTCCCTTTTATCAGGCTGTCCAAACTCATCATTAAAGACCCTTCAATTCATACAAAATACTGCAGCACGGGTTTTAATAGGAACAAAGAAGATGGACCACATCACTCCTGTTTTAGCAGCATTGCACTGGCTACCAGTTAAGTCCAGGATTGACTTTAAAATACTTTTACTCACATACAAAGCGCTCAATGGTCAGGGACCATCCTACCTACAGGATCTTTTAATCTCCTATTGCCCCTCTAGGGCATTAAGATCCCAGAGTGCAGGTCTGTTGGTGGTTCCCAGAGTCCACAAAAAAAGGTCAGGTGCTAGAGCTTTCGGCTACCAAGCCCCGTTCCTCTGGAATCAACTTCCAGTGACGATTAGGGAGGCAGACAGTGTCCACACATTTAAGAGTAGGTTAAAGACTTTCCTCTTTAGTACAGCGTACAGTTAAGACTGGTTGTAAACCCCCTTTACATCCTCATGGACCCTTTGTTTTATGGAATTGTATTGTACTCTAACTGTATTTATGTCATTGTGTTATGTTCCTTTTTAAATTACGTTTGTTGTTTTTACATTGTTTTACATTGTCAATTTTGTTTGTTGACTTGTGAAGCCCTCTGAGACAAATAGGATTTGTGATTTTGGGCTATATAAATAAACTTGAATTGAATTTAATTAATGATTACCTTAAGCTTGATAGGATTGTTTGGGATAACATGACAGAGGAGGATGGAGTGTCTTTTACCCCCCCTGCATTAAGGTTTTATTTTTTTACTAAATGACAATGAAGTTGAATCAAAACTCATTTAAATATACAATGTTGTTTTTTATTTTGTTGTGGCTGGATTCAATTTGAAGGCAGGGGTCTATTAGTTTACAATTACTGTTAAAAACAGACACTGTTGTAAATCCCCCTGCCTTTTTTGGTCTTGTGGGAGGCGGGGCTTAGCCTCCACCTACCAGGCCACACCTGATCCCATTTAAGGCCTGTAATCAGCCCTGCTCAGTCTCTCCCGTGTCTGTAGCAGCAAGCTGACCTCATGTGCTCTCTTCACAAGCTGAATATCGATACATTATTTGAGTAAGTTGTGATTATGTTTATTGATGGCTTATCCTAATCCTTATCCTGCGAAAGCAATATTTGTTGTAACAGAGTGTTGTAGCCCTTCCTGATTTCCATTTGTGTTTTATGTTCTAGCCTTAAATGCATCACCACCATCATGTAGATCAACTGTTAACTGCATGTGAAGAGAATAAATGGTTGAACTGCTCTCATCGTGGATCCTCATACTTTGACTGGTATGCCAATGCAGAGGCACTTCAGGCAACCCTCCCTAAAATGATAGTCTAGTTTTTACAGACACATTTCCGACTATTCATGCCACAAATAAAGACACTTAGCCTGCTGTAGTATAGAACAAATGGTTTGCCTATCCAGTTTCTCCTTGACATCTTTCATTGACCTCATGATTTGTTCATCAAGGTGAAGGAAAGATTTTAAGGAGAATTAATTAGGAGTCAGTTAGGACGATACTAAAAGTAGCCCCTGGTTCTTGCATCACATTTTTCTCAGCCCTGTTTTAAACTTTCTGCGGTGTAAACCGCTAATAAGAAACCAGTTGTGCATTGATTGAAACAGCTACATGCATTTCATATTGTGAAGTAATCAACACGTATCTTTCACCTCTGACTTGGCAGGCACCTCCCGGCTCATCAGCCAGCGTCTCCTCCCGACAGGCGGCGAGGGGGGGGAAGAGACCCGCCGCTCGACTCAGCAGGACCCCGCAGATATGTCCCGACAGGAGCACCAGCAGAGGGCCGAGGCTCTGGAGCAGCAGCAGCAGATGAAGATCCTGGAGTGGCAGAACAGGATGAAGGTGCTGGCGTGGGAGCAGGAGCTGGTGAGGGAGAGGAGGAGAGCAGCGCGGCAGGAGGAGAAGGCCTTCAGGATGAAGAAGGCGTACTACAAAGCCAAGCTAAAGAGGATGGGAGAGGACGTTCCACCATCTTCCTCCAGCAGCAGCGACGAAGAGGAGAAAACTTCTAATCAGACAGGATGAACTGATTCTATTTTTCATCAGTGCTTATTTCATTATTGAATGCTTTTGTGTATATGCCATGAAACTGTTGCTACTTTTACACATGTATTATAAGAAGACTTTTAGTTGCTTTAAATCAGCAGTTCTTACACAAATACTTCTTTGATTTTTCTGAGATAAACTGAACTAGTTGAGTACACTTCGTTTAATCTCAAAGTGAAAATGAGGTTCTAGTAGACCAAAAGAAACCATGTAAATGGTATCAGATTTTGCACATCTTTTTGAAAGGCTTCTGACATATGTAAATATTAAAAAAATACCATGATCCTGTTTTGTTTTATGATCATTCATCACCATGTGTCTTAAGTATTTAACATTTTGAGATGTCCATTGATGTTAAAGGTTGAGGGTGATTGTAAAGAGCATTAAAAAATGTATTAAGATGAAATCTAATCACGGCAGATGTACAAATGTAATGTTATTCCTAAATGGACAACACTTCTTCATGATTGTACATGCATGGCGTCTTTTGCATGTCCAAATAAGTAACTTTTTGTTTGGCCATGTGAATAAATAATATAATAATAATTTGAGTTTTTACAGGGGAAGGCTAGCTGTTCGTGTTATGCTAAAATAAGCTAATTGCCTCTTGGCTTTAACGCAGAAAAATATATATTTGATCAAACTCACAAAACAAATATACATATTAACATTTAATATAAATACAAAATATCCCTTTTAAATCTGTCTGTGTACATGTATGTCAAAGATATAAGAATGTCTCAGATACCTGCCAATGAGTCATACTATTACAAATCTGACCTTTAAGTGGTCCTATAACCCTGAGTACAGGTTATATTCTGTCTCAGCTGGGGGCTTCTATTTTCACCAGGCATCATGGTGGCAGCTGAACATCTCTGACTCCTCTGGATGTGACAGGATGCTCTGAGAGTCGAAACAGGAGAGAGTGCCTTGTGTCAGGAGGTTTTGCCTGCTCAGTTTTTTCGCACCTGAAAATGTCTGTTCTCATGAATAAGGAAACCACACACAAACACCCAGAATAAATATGAACAGCCGTGTAGGAATAAGTCATTTTTTTTAATATCCAACATTTCTCTTGTTTCCGCGGTAACAGGGGAACAGCTGTTTCCATGCCGCCGTCCCCTTGCCGACGGCGGGATAGAAGGCATCCCATAATGAACACACGAGAAAACAAAGACAATCTCCCATCCCTCCTCCTCTCACCAACAATCTCTTACTGTGTCCGTCATTTTTCCACCTTTGCTTAAGCAGAGCACATCTCAACGTTTTAGGAACGCCTTCGTTTCCTCTCACTCTCAGAACCAGATTAACCTGAAGCTGGAGTTTTCTGTTAATTGACTGCTGTGTCTAAAAGCATTAATATGACTGGTTAATGATTTGTGTGCATATAAATCTTCAGTCTTGGATCTAGAACAGGAAGGTTAGTTTGAACCATATCTGCACTATATACACCCAGAGTTCGCCTGTTAGATTTGATATGTTGAAATTGTGTCCAGGGAGGATAAATGCACCGATATAGGGTTGAAATTCAAACTTGTTTGGTCAAATATAAACCAAATCCAGTGTCCTGCATGAAAGAGACACTTTTCCCGCTCTTTTCTTATCATTTGTCTTTGAATTTGTTGCATTGAGACTGAGAAACAGAAAAAAGGGAACATTTGGATGGAAAGAAATCACATACTTAAAAAAAACAATCCCATACAAAATGGCAACATAAATAATCAATACAGTGTCAATAAAATATTGATAAATAAAATAAATCTCATGTCTGTACAAGTTAAAGGTACTGTCAGTTGAAGATAATGAATGGATCTGTGAAGAAAAATAAATAAATGAATGGAGCAGATGAGTAGGAATCAAAGTCTACACCTTAAACAGAATAGTGGGTGATGTTCCTGTGCTGGAGCATTTTTTGGCAATACTACTTTACAAATATGTTGGCTTGTCATCTTCCAGGGACATGGGGAAGACAGAGCAGGGAGATATTCATTTGTGAGGTGTGTGTGTTTTTCCAGAATTTGCTTTTCAATAAGTGTTTCTCTGCGATGAGTAACGTCCTCGCCCTCGTCCCTGCAGCTACACACACAGTTTCTGACCCAATTTGTTCCATCCTCTGGTTTTGTACCTCATGATTTATTATTACGCTCAATGTGCTCTATCTGCTAGGGTTGCTTAAATGTCACAGTGCTCTCTGCTCGAGGACAACACATTTTGGCAACACAAAAACCTCGTTTCTTTGAGACACTGCATTTTCCTTTGACTACAGAAAACACAGTTATGTCAGCTTCACTCCCTTCATCCCTCTGAAGGCTGGTGAAGACTACTTGTCTCCATTGCTTCTAAATGCCTGTGTGTTGTTACCTGAAGGCCTGAACTCAGCTGTGAGAGAGGAGCAGCTGCTGATGGAAAGACCTGGCACTCAAAACCACTTAGAGGCTTTTAGCGCTGACACACCTGACATCTCCTCTCCTCAGCAGACTGCTACGGTGCTGCAGAAGCGACGCCAAATCTTGCAAGAGACCTCATCTCTTCCTAAACAATGAGAGGAAATGTGTATGAATGTGTTCTGGTTTGAACCTCTCCATCAATGGCAGCTTGTTAGCAAAGTAAGGAAGTACCTCAAATATAAATAATTCATTTCCCAGCAACTGTGTTCAGCCAAGGAGGGGAACAAAACCTGGCAGGGGATCTATGTGTTACAGACACGAGCTGATGCAAGCTGGATATGGACTGCAGGTCTAATTTGTGAACTCCAAATAAAATATGGTAGCACACTGAGATTAATGACAGCAAATCAAAATCCTGCAAACAGTCGGTAATGTTTTGGCGCAGATCTAGAGGCCTTTTTAAAACAGTTTTTTTTCAATTTGGACTTGTTTTCATGGCACAGTCATTGAAAAAACAACAAAAATACCCGAAAAACAAAAATGAGAATTACACCTAGAGCTTTCACACCCTGCACAGGTCATTTTCATCACAGGAAATTGAAGAACGAGGGTGTGAAGTTCTGATTTTAAGTGTGTCCCTTTGGCTTGGATTTCTGCAGAACTTCTTCTTCTTCAGAAGCTTTTAAAAGTGAGTCTCCTGGATGCTGCCGGAGACATTTCACTGCTCCTGTGGCGTCTCTTGAGGCAGGTTTGAGTCGTGATGCATCAGAGAGTGAAATACCTTGAGGGTCTTTAAATGGTTGTTGCATGACACACAGAAGCAGACAGAGGTCTTCCTTCACCCGTCAGCACCAGACACAGATGAACACAGATGGGTGACAAGGGCACATTCATGAACACTGGATCACAAAACAGCACAGTCTCCTGAATGAGACGATACTTTGACACTCGTGACTGGGCTTTACTAAATGATCCCCCAACTCTGAACCTTCCTGTGGTGCTTTAGCTAAACGTTGGCCATCTTTCTCTTCACAATCATCTTCCTTCAAATCTCTTCTCCTATATAATCCTTCCTCTATATACAATCAGTTCTTGTTGCTTTGATATTTTCCGTTCAACCTCATGTGGCGGTTTTTTGATAATCTCATGGTATAATATTGCCGGACCCCTACTGTCGCTTTACAGAGTTGATGAATGTGAGGAAATGTTTCTGAGGAAAACTGTTTCCAAGGAGAGATTTGGGGATTTTTTTTTTCTTTGAAGGGGAAATGTCTCCCTCAGCAACGTACAAGACTGCAAACGCACCGACCTCACTCACAACCTCACACGGACACAATCATTTAAAAAAAAAAAAAAGAGAAAACATCACGAGATTTTCTTCTTCATCTCCAATGAAAAAGATACAAAATGTATAAAAATGTTATTTACAGTCTTTTCTTTTTTTCTTCTCGCGGACACATGTTGTCCGGATCACGCTGAATTTTTGTTTGAAATCTGAGGATTTTGTGTTCATCTTGAACAGTTTGTAGGTAGTAGAGGTGGTTGACTCAACGTCCAAATAAACGGCATAGCTCGTTGAAGGCGGTGGGACTTGAAAAACGTAATTTATACAGTACAAACCGCCAAAGAGCATCCTCCTTAACCTCATCGACGCTCTCCCTGTCGTATTTTCTGACAGACTCAGTGTCTCCTCTGTCCCGAGTGTTTCTCAGAGTGCTCCAGTGGTTCAGGTCGATCCATGACCTCTGAACCTCGTGTTCCAAACACCGCCTCAATGAATAAAGGGACATGTAGGCTGTCATCAAGACTGTCCTTCACTTCTGTTGGCTCTGAGGAAAGAGAACACAAATGAGTCTTTGAAATCCTCTCTACTGATGCTAATTCCACTTACACATAGTGACGACAAAATACAGTTCATACAGAAGCAAAATGAGCAAATGAGCTGTTAGAGGCAGAGCCAGGGAGACAGAACAAGTAGAATGGAAGGGTGCAGGAAAGAATAGCCAAATATGATGTTTACAGAGGATCAGGGGAGAGGGGGGGATTCATTAACACAGGAGGACTTACTCTGAGTCGGGGGAGACTTCAGATATGCTGTGGGAGGTTGCTGACTGGGGCGGGGAGGGGGAGGGTCCATGGGCAGAGCCATTAGGCCCAGGGTTAGAGGGGGGAGGAGTGAGGACGGTGGAGCTGAAGGAGGCCAGGATAGAGGACAGGATGTCCAGGTGTTCGCAGGACGGTTGTCGCCCCAGAGCGTTGGGATTTGAACCTGCGCCCTGCGGGACAGTCTGACCGGTGTACCTACATGGGGGGGCGGAGTCCAGCCGTCCTCTGACGTGAGGCGGGAGCTGCTCCTGCAGGGGCTCCTCAGAGATGGGGGGAGGAGGGGAGGACGAGGGAGGCTGGTCGGGGTGCGCAGGCTGGCGGGGGGGCAGAGTGCGCAGCCACTCCCGACACGGCTGGGCCCCGCCCCCGTTGGGCTCCAGCTGCTCCCTCGACCTGCTGCTCATCAGCGCCCCCTCGAGGTGCTCCCGGGACGAGGCCTGCCGCCGAGTCAGCGAGTTCAGATGGGACCTCGACCCGCTGAGGAATCCCTCCATCCCCCCCGCTCCCCCGTTCCCACTCAAGTCCTCCCTGGAGGCGTGCACGCTGCCTGTGTGCTGGAGGTCCAGTCTGTCCCTGGACCCCGACAGGTTCTCCCTGGATGAGGAGACCCGCTGATGCTCCAGCCCCAGGCCCCCCAGCCCTGCTCCCTGCCCCAGCCCCAGCTCTCTCCTCCGGGGTAGGAGGTCCAGGTTGTCCCTGGAACCCCGGGAGTCCAGTCGGTCTCTGGACCCGCCCACCGCCTGCCTCCCCAGGGTGTCCCTAGACAGCTGCCTCCGGGACAGCGAGTCCAGCTGTTCCCTGGAGGAGTAGCGGGAGCCCGGTTGAGAGAGAGAACCTGAACCTCCACCTGCACTGGTGGCAGAGTACATGCGACCGTACGAGGCTGCAGGGACCCCCCGGTGGCCCAGAGTGGAGGTCCGGTACCAGTTCAGATCACTGGGGGCCCGGCCTATTGAGGAGAGACCCTGGAGTGCCGGGGGACAGCCGATACGATTCTTCAGGATACCTGAGACAAGAAAATAGGAACGTGAGAACATTAGACGGGGACACAGAGTAAAGAGAGTCAAATGTGTCGAGGCGTACAGAAAGATGAATCGAAAAAGAGCACAAAAGAAGGAGGAAGAAGGAGTCAGTGTTTGGTCAGGTTTTTTAAAGTTAAATTCACTTTTAGGTTCTTAAACCTTATAATATCGAAATTGTTATTTTGAATGCAATTAAAAAATAGAGTTACAAAAGTCCTTTATACCCACAACAAGAAATCTATATTGTCACTTTGTTGTTCATATATACTGAGATTTACATTTCGTAATCAAGCACATTCCTAACCTTAAAAACTAAAGTTTTAAAACGTAAGTCACAGGAGGAAAGCGTGTGTTTGTGTGCATCAGGCTTGAAATAGGTTTACTAAAATAGCACCCATGCTCCCAGGCAGCATTCATGACTGCCATCTTTCTCTCTCTCTCACTCTCAGTGTGTCATTGCATGTTCCCATTTTATATGTATGTATAAAAACTGTCCTGTACACATAAAAGTGTCAGCCATGCTTTCAGGGCCAGATTTAAACCTAACATAGCCTAGAGGGTTATTTAAGTCATCCTTTATGCATCAGGGTCAGGTCATCTGATTGCAGTCCTGTATTGCGTTAAGTGGGTGAAAGACTTGCGCATTATGTGCACATGAGTTGGTCAAAGTGAAAATCATTGTATGTTGACCATTATAATCTTTACAAAACTTGACTTAAAATAATTATCCTCTTTGAACGTCCCAACAACACTAAAAGTCTGATATAAAACCAACAAGAAATCTAGTAAACAAACCAAATCAGATTTAAAGGATATATTTGTGAATTTCCATCATCATGTAATGTAGCACTGCTGGGTCACATGTCGGTTCGACTTAAATACATTTAAATGTATAACAGACAAACTTCAAATACAGAAGATAAGGTCAACGTTATTGAGCTGTGTTTTAAATGAAGCTTTGCTGACACTGAAAACGTCTCCGTCTTCCTCTTGGCAAAATGCCCCATTTACATCCTGATGAAGAGGCTGCATCAGTCAGACAGGAGGTCAAGAGGTTTTTTATTCATGGACAAAGCCGATATTATAGAATACAGGCCAGGGGCTATCAAGTAGACAAGTAGATGTTTATAGAGATGAGAAGTAAAAGAGACAAACAAGAATCTATTTCCCATAGGTCTTAAATGCATTGTTTCAGAATGTGTATGCATATGTTTATTTTCAAATGTTTGAAGTGATGTGTCTTATTCAGCATCCATGTGCCATTTTACTAACTAACATTTTTTTGCATAATACACAAACTAAAGATTACTATATTAAAACCAACCCAAAATATCAATGTGCCCTTAGATTTTTTCATTTGTGTGCCTCTCACCCTTGCGGTGCCTGTTGGGCTGGGTGAGGCCGTTCTCGTCCCCGCTGGTCAGCGCCGCGTCAGTCTGGTTGTTGTTGGCGGCGTCCTTGCTGTAATCGGACCCAAGGGGGCGCTCTGAGCCCCACTTCTGAAGGCTGTGTGTCTCACACTCCTCCAGAGCGGGCCAGTAGGACAGAAGGTCATTGCCATCCAAATCTGTAACACACAAAAACATCAATCACTTCCTGGTTACTCAATAGCTGACACCCTTCACACAAACATGTTCTCAGCCACAACTTTATTAAGCAATGACTTTCGACCAAACACCAGTTACATAAAGCTGCCAAAATATTCTCATGCCTCATCTTTTAATATCAAGTATTTTGCTTCATTATGTTGCAGTGCTTGCATCCTATAGATACAAAACAGATGTATGTATCAAGTAACAGGTGTCCACAGATGAATAGCACATGTTCATTAAAAACAACAGTCGGGGCTAATTTAGAGTGACATACTGGTGGAGAATATATCAGACTATTGCAAATGTCCTATGAACACACACAATTCATGTTTGCAGCCATTCAACATGTTAGATAGTTCTGTGTAGACACCACTTTTGATTAATACGTTTTCAAAATGATTGAAGAACTATAGCTGTCTATCAAATAATTAACCTTTATTTATTCCAGTTACAAGTCATTTCACCATTGATGTTAAGCACATGCTTTGACAACCGCATATTGTTCTAATGGGTAGAGTTCAGTAAGCCTTTTGGTTTTCTGTAACATATTATGAAATAATGCAACATCAAAAGGTTCATTTATACTTTTAATACTCCACCGAAAACCTATATTGCAAGAATCATCAGTTTAAAAAGAAAATCTCAATACACAAATCAATAGTCCTTGAGCAGGACTCTTTAACATCACTGAATGTTTAGATATGAGAACTGCCTTTAAAACCAAAACAAGTCAATAAACCATTTGAAAATCATTAAAGTACCTTTGGTGCCGTTGTGGGCGGGCTCTGTGAGCAGACGCTCGCTGTGATTGGAGCGTTTGAATCGCCGCTGAATGCGTCCACGGAGTCGGACGTTGTCCTCGCTCTCAGAGGAAGGGATGGAGAGACTGCGCTCCTCGTCCATGGAGAGATCTGAGTCTGTGTCTGAATCTTCACCTGGTGGAGGCAGGAAAGGGAGGGGAAGATAGAAAATGGAGGCGGGGAGGAAACAAGAGGAGGAAAAGAGAAGAATATAAAGCGTAAGGAAAGATTGTGTTGACAGGTTATTCTCCATTGTGAGGTGAGCTTCATCGAAATGTATATGCAGCAGAAACAGAGAGTATGAGAAGAAATGGAAAATGTGTGACTACTGCTTTCTGAAAGTGTGTGTGTTCACCTCCGTCTCTGTGGAACATGGCTACATCCAGGTCTGTCGCTCCGGTTTGTACAATATTCTGTTCCAGAGTCTGACGGGCCAAAAGATTTTCTCTAACAGGGAAAGAGGAGAGAAATGAGGACACAGACACGCACACATACACTATACTGTACATGCAGCCACACAGGCCAGACATCCATGTAATATGTACTGTACTGCACACACACACACACACACACACACACACACGCCCATATAAATACAGACAGGTCAGACAATCACTGGGCCATTAAGACACCAACAGCCCCTCTCAGAGTACATTAGTGTTGCTCTACATACACTACAGTACATTGTTCCATCCAATCTTCTTCATATTTACCCCACTGACCCACAAATGCACAACAGGGTTTTTGTTAGCTAGGGAATTTCCTCCCTGAGGCAACTGTCTCCCAAATCAGAGTCACAGACATTAATCAAACCTGACAAACTTCAATTCAAATGATAATTTATCACTGGTATATTGTTACTTTCAAATGTGCTTTTGAACTACAGGAGGAATTCTGCTATCGGTCTTAACCTGTTCAACCAGCCATGGTGTGGAAGTCTTTCTCTTCAATACATTTATAGTTATTTGGTGGGAGTTTGGATGTGTGTTTGTGTGTGTGTATTCATTTACCTGGCGGAGCTCACGGAGGAGATTGTGGAGGTTCCTAGGGTGATGCGGTGCAGCCCGCTCTGCTCCAACAGAGAGGCGTTGTGATAGGGATTCTGAGCCTAAACACACACACACAAGAAGGGCCAGAGTTTTACATCAACCATTGACCAAACAGAACTTAGTGTTAACTGAAATATAAAACAAATGTCCTCCTTTATAATGCTTTTGAACATGGGAAAAACTGCAATGTATCGGATGTACATACTGTATCAAGAGTACTCCTCTAGCCTCTATTCCATCATTCATATTTGCATAAAGGGCTTTTTTCAATATGTTTCTATCATAAGATAATCAATGATAAATACTATACCGTGTGGTTACATGAAAGTAAAGATCTTTTTCAAGAGATCTTTTTTGTTTTTATTCAAAACGTTACTTACATGTCTAATCTTGTTTTAAATAGTATTATCCTTCTTTGAATTCAAGAACAATTGAATTAGGCCAGTGGCCCCCGTACAAAGGTACCTGAGGAACTGTATCCTCAGTAATTACAAGACATTTTTAGAAAGTTTCATCGTTTTGTTTTTTGTACTAATGTATATACTGTGCTTGTTCTGGTATGTTAATGTGTTTATCTCTGTAGATGTATCAAGGAATGTGTTCCTCTCAGTGGCTATTTATAGATGTTTTGTATGCATTTTGTATACCTCTTTGAAACTGTGATAAGACACATTCAACCTTTAAAGCCCTCAAACCGTTGTGTAAATGCAACAAATGTAACTTCAGTAACTGTTACAGTAGGTCATGAATTCAAAATCATTAAAAATGAAACCGTGATGCAGAAGGACTAAAATGCAACAATGAATTTATTTGTTCAACAGTAATAGAAATGAAATGGAAAAACAGGAAAAGAAAACTGAGGAACATTCTCAGTCTGCGTCTTCAGGCAGGCAGCAGCATCAGACTGTTTCTGAACCAAGAAGGGCTGGACTCGTCTCTTCCTTTTGACCTCACGCTTCCTGATTGTCCGTTCATCCTGCGCTGCAGTCATGACAACAGGTCCATCATGGCGTGTTGGAAGAGCCAGAGTCACAGCAGGGCCTTGTTCTCCGCTGAGCTCCACATCCTCACAGTCTGTCTCTGGTGTACACAGCTCCACTGGATCAATCTGGCTGGTCGTCAAACCATCCTGGGTGACAGTGATGGCAGGAGGCTCATCAGCAGTGGTCACAGAAGAGAGCAGAGCTGGAACCACAGCAGAGTTGTATTCAAGGTTTGACGCAGAGGCAAATGGTTCTTCCTCCAAGCTGACTTTGGCAGAAGGTCCAGCACTTGGTGTCAGAGGAGTAGGTGAAGGAGAAGAGACAGGTTCCTGAATTGGTTCTCTGTCTTCCTCCAGACCAAGCTCCTCATTCAGATCTTCAGCCAGGGTGTGAATGGTCTGTGCACCATCCACTACATCTGCTAGATGGGTGCAGTTTCTTTTGTTGCTTGAATTTTCAACCACATGTGTGTTGCTCTGAGGCTCAAACAGCGCACACATCTCACTCACTGCAGCATCTGCAATGGTGTTCAGTATTTGTGCTGCAAATGAGTTAAGCTCCCTCCTCCGGATGTCTTGAGCCGGGTACATCTGTCTAACCTTTTCCTGGATAGACAGGACCATGGCATCTCTGATGGAGCAAGAGAAGGTGACCTGATGGTGCACATTGGACAAAGCAGTGGAGAGTTTGTCCAAAACACACTTAGTAACCCCAACAGCCATTTGATTGAGCTTCTGCGAGGGCATGTTGAGAAAGGTGCTTCGAGGAGGTGACCAGAAGCCTTGTAGGACTTTTGGTACCACCTGCAACACCACATCTCGTGGGCCGAGCAGTTTGGAGCTGGGGGCAGACTGCAGTCGCTCTGTCAGTCTCCTGCCGTACTCCTGAGCCAAGTTCATCAGCTTTGGGTGACGAAAACCAGCAGGGATGTCACCTGGGGACATGAGCAGCCTTCTGGCTTCAAACACGATGTCTCGCATTTTCATGCTGTTGATCACCTCCCACAACAGATTGAGAAGAGGCTTTGCAACGTCTTCATCACGGTCCTCTAGTTCAAAGTCCCAGAGCTGCACTCTCAGTGAGCTTTTGCTTTCTTCTCGCAGCAGGTCTGTCATGTCATCGACAGTCACCTCAGATGGGATCATGTCTTTCTGCTGAAGCCGCAAAAGTTCTATCACCAGTGCGATCTTGGTCTTGTAAGAGCTGATATGCCAGCAGATCTGCAGAGCCCGCTCATATATGGGGGTGTCGAACAACACCCTGATGGGTCTGTAGATGCCTGTGCTTCCTTCAAGGAAATCCATGGACATGTTGTCGCTGGATTTCTGAATACTCTCGCTGACTGTTGAACCATCCTGAATGGAAGCAGGGGTAACAGAGCGTGGAGTAGTTAGAGCCATAGGAGAGTTGCCTCTGCTTTCTTCAATGGACTCCATTGATATGCTGTTGCTGTATATCAGAGTACAGAACAGACTTAAAAACACAATTACAATTTTCCAACGAGAGACTAGAGAGTAGTCAAGCACAGTTGATCAGTTGATCGCACAGACAGAAGTGAACAGTGTGTGTTCAGGTGGCTGAATGTGGCTGGAAGGAAGGAGGATTCCGACTCCTTGTCTTGGAAATTCTGGAACCTTCTGTTCCGTAACCCTTGGTTTTTGGAACTCTTTTCTTGGGGAACTATTTTCTTAGTTTTTTTTTAGATTTCTACTCTACACTGTGGAAATGCATACACAACTTCAAAAACACGCACAGAAAAATACACACTGGCGAAAGCACAGAGGAGACATAATAAGAGCAGCTAAAGAAAACAGAGTGCAGTGAGCTATGAACTAAAAAGTAAAAACACACATACAAGATATAAGTGGATAGTGGACACACACACACACACAGGGCTTTTAAAAAATGGGCTTAAGAGCAGGCAGGGTTTCACTGGTCCGTATAAAGTTTGATCTAGGTCAGTCACAAACCCTGAAGGCAGAAGGACAGGAGAGATGGATGGATGGATAGAGGGAAGGAGGAATGGAGGGCAGGAGGGTCTTTGTGCTTCTTTAGTAATGGCCACAGTGTGAATGAGCAGCTAGAAAGGGGAATACTGTAGAAAAGACTAAAACATAGTCAATGACTTTGTGATCATGATGCAAGCGTCCTACAGCTGATGAACACCCCATTATAATGTTATAATAATCTTTTTAAAATCTTTATTTACAAAATATGCTGTGATAACATAATACGTCTATCCAGACCAAGATACCAGACAACCTATATTCTTAAGGGTCAGCAGAGACAAGCTGCAGCAGTACGGAGGCTGTAGTACGGAGGCTGTTTCCGTGTGTGTGTGTGTGTGTGTGTGTGTCAGGGTATATGCAGGAATCCTGAAGTCAAATTTAATACCTTTTAAGACCTTTTTTAAGACCCTTTCCATACATTTTAAGACCTCATCGCCACTTCGAGTTTTAACCGGTTACATTGGCGACACACTTTACCTCACATTTACTACAGTATTGATCCTTGATTGGTCCTTCCTCCTTATCTTCCAACCATTTGGACGCAAACTTGCATTTCCCCATAACGATGTTGTTTAACAACCGGCGTAAACAGACCTTCGCGCGCTATCAAGCAGTGAGCGTGCGATGTCCTGTTCAGATGACGTCAAACCCAACGGGATGCCATAAATAACTACACAGAATCACACTCCACACCTACGCAATGATTACATTCAGGCACACTTTAGAATACAACCTCTTTGGACAATTTATATACTTATTGAAAACAAGCTACAACATTTAATACCTTGGGTTAGGGTTATGGCGTTTAATACTTTTTAATACTTTTTAATAGCCTTAATTTTCGCTAAATTGATTTATCAACTTTTAATACTTTTTAAGACGCCGCGGACACCCTGGTGTGTGTGTGTGTGTGTGTGAGAGTGTGTGTGTGTGTGTGTAACTTACAGTGTTCTGCGATGGTCTTGGTGGGTCCTCTCCGGGACTCTTCTTTCCCAAACAGGCTACGCTCCAGGCCTCTTTGACCTCTGAGTTGAACAAAGTGAAGACCAGCATCACCGACAGACCCTGGGATAGAGAGCAGTAGAAAGACACAGTTTAAGTTTGGATAAGTGGATATATGACGTCTTTTCCTTTATATAAGCAAAGTTTGTTCCTCTTTTTATTTGAGCAATTAAAAAAGTAACTACTATTTGGGCAGTAAATATGTATTTATCTTCTGTCTATACAAATGCGATAGCTGTTATTATCCGGATGGAAATTGAATCAGTGTTAGAGTAAAGCAGAAATGTATTAAGATGCACTGTGTTCCTACCTGGAATAGGCAGAGGACATCGAATATGTAATAGAAAGCCAGGATGCTGTTGTTCACAGCCATCAGACCACACAGCCAGGTGGAGGTGGCGACCAGCAACAGCAGGAAGGCATTGCGAATAGTAGCTCTAGAGAGAGAAACATGGAGGTCAATGGGGGAGAAATCGGTCATAAAAGGCTGACATTTACATATCATAATGACTAATAACATCTGCATAAGTTTGCAGTTTTTTAGACAGACAACATCAACATGTTGCATCCCTACTTGGATGTGCAAGTTTATGACTTATACAGGGACATGCACATGTTAATAGGTTACATGTTTTATGTATAAGATCACTTATATAAAAAACAGACAGAGTTGTTGGAGCGAAGCAAAGAGAGGCACCACAGAGCTCAAGGGATTTCTTTGAGTCGTTATAGTTTGATCAATAAAGGCCTCGTATGATTGTTGTCTATCAAATCAACATTGACTGAATGAGACAGATAGAAATACAAATATATTCTCTGTTAGTTATTCAAACCCAGATCAGTTTTCAACACTTCACCCCCCACTGTTGTTTAATGCTCGTATGACAGCGAAAACAATGTAGGAGTTTTATATTTAGTTTGTAGTTTTAAAGCTATGTAAAGGTTGTTAGAAGTTGGATTAGACCATTTTAATATAGTTTGATCTTTCGAAGATCTTTACTTAGGATAAACACGTTTTTTTTTTACCATGGTGGCCCAGTACTTACATGACAGGGAGCTTCTTGGTCTCCTTCTGAGAGGGATTGCAAGACATCTTGGCAACAATCATGAAAATCCCTCCGTTCATCTAGATAGAAAGAAATCAATACAAATGATAAGGCAACATTTTTAATGCATTTCAGCTAATCCAATACTGCCGTGAGCAGCATTAGGGGTCAGGATAAATACATGAAACTAAATCAATGTGGATCAAATAGTCATCTTAGAGGGAAAAAGGTTTAATAAATTCAAGATAAAGACAGACTAATACATGACAAATGAATTGCTCTTTAATTTAGTTTTGGTTCCTTTGCTCAAACAGTTAAAAAAGACAAATTAGTGAATACAAAAAAGACATGTTGAACAAATGACTGATAAAAAACCCACATCTAATAAAGGTTAAAAAAAAGGCGCATGAAAGAGTAACACTGATAACAGACCAGAATGCACTGTAATTATTCATTCATTTAAAAAAAAGCCTGGCACAGTTGCATGTCTAAGATGTAAGTGCAGTCAAGTTGTAGAGCAAAAGGTTATAGCTTCATGTGGGAAGTTATTAAAACTATGGACTAGCAAAATTCAAGTGTGTTGACTTTCTTAAATGAATTTGGAGTACAGCCAATTAGCACTTGGCTAAGGATAAATTCATAATGAAGTTTACACATTTTATCTGAAGAAGTGTTCAAGCCTGGTACTCTAAGCAGATTTTAATATCTGAAAAACTCAAATGGTTGTTTACGCTTATCAACAGTAAACCCTTAAGTAAAAGTCTATCATATGAATGTTTACACTATAAGTTTGTTTGCATACATTGGTATTGAGAATATAAGAAATGAAACCAGTTACCAGTATGACGATGGCTATCGGACCAGCAAAGCTCCAGATGAGTTTGTCATAGATGGAGATCCAACAGAAGTCTGGGTTCCCGTATCCCTCTGGGTCCAAGCCCACAGCCAGCCCTGCAGGAGACACACACAGTCAGATCAGACACAACAGGAAGTGACAGCATGTAATCATCAGAGTGATAGTAGCAGGACAGCTCAGAGACGTAACAGAACATATCCCAATTCATGTTAGGTATTAAGCTTTTTAGTTATTAGTTATCTTCGTAATAATTTCAGTGGACAAATCCTCATGTTAAAGGTGATCAGGTCATTGGCAACTGGGCTGTATATGCATAATGACAGTCTTCAGAGATGTGAGTATAAGTATGTTTCTTGATTCACAGTTCTGGTTAGAACTGGGACACTTGATGTGAACTGTGAAGACTCCTTGGTGTCCTTGTCAGGACAACTGTCAAGGTCCTGTCAGTTGAGGGTTTGCAAATTGAATTGCAAAAGTAAGGCAGACAGGAAGCGCCTAAACAAGTCGGACAGACAGATTAAACACATCTCTGAGCCGGAGGAAAGAGGAATGGTGTGTGTGTGTGTGTGTGTGTGTGTGTGTGTGTGTGTGTGTGTGAAAGTGAAATCAATTCTTGAGGAAAGGTGAGACAGCGGTCGGTGTGTGTGTGTGTGTGTGTGTGTGTGAGACTGTGACACTTAAAGCCACAGAGATGGGTGTTGACAGAGAAATGTTTGTGTGTGTGTAAAAGAAGAAGAAAGACAGATATTACTTTCTTACCATATGTGTCAAGGGAGAAATGGCCTGCGTCTGTGTGTGTGTGTGTGTGTGTGTGTGCACTTTCCTATCTCTATATTAAAATGTCACAGAAACCTATTTAATACAAGTGTCAAAAGGACACCTTATCTACACAGCCAGACTCATTGTGACTTTGTGATGTGTGTGTCGGTGCACGTATATGACAGTGTGTTTTCATAAATGTATAAATGTGACAGGGACATGGATGCATAGACATGCTTCGGACAAATATCTCAAAGATCTCACATGTCTGCATCTGTACGTGTGTTTTTTACCTGTGATGATGGCGGGCACGCCCCAGCCGATGGCGTAGTAGAACCTCATGGCGCCGTAGTTAATGTTGCGCTGCTCCGTCTGCATCCGGTAGATATGAAGCCCCTCGACGAACATCCAGGCAAACGTGGACATGAAGAAGTAATGCAGGAGGATGGCGACGACTGTACACAGGAACTGGAGGGGGAGAGAAAGATAACAATTAAAGGAAGGAGAAAAAACCACGGGGAAGATAGCAGAAGGAGAAGAAAAGACAGAGAGAGGAGAAATAGAGATGAAACAGGAGAAGAGGCAAAAAAAAAAAAGGAAGGGAAATGAAATATGTTCTGTATTGATCTTGTGACAGATGCAGACGTCTTGGCAAGCCACCAACAAGTCTTTATTACAACGCAGCAGGTGTCAGCAATGAAGCAGGCATTCATAATTTCATTACTAAAGCGACTAATGAACAGCGTTTAAGGCAGCATGTTAGAGTATGTCTGCAGGAAATGTACAAAATAACTGATATGAATATAAATTGATGTCGTTAATGTGCTGAATTAAAGTAATAACCCCCAAGAGTGCGTTGTTAACGTCCATTATGGGAATGACAGTGAGCACCGTTGGTAGAGGAAAGAAAACAGCAAAGAACGCAGGTAATGTGATCGTTATGGCGATATTGTATTTCCTGGTTTTAAGGGGATTATCAGCCCATAATTAATTCCATTGCTTAAATCACTAATTTAAAATCATATATTTAAATCTTTAATCAGCTTTTATGGAAATGACACAGGTGATATATTTACTTTAATCTTTTTTTAAATCAATTAGTATTGAAGGACATGAAGAAATTGTATTTATTGCTTTAGATGGGATGCAGCACAAATGCAGAGAGGATGTCATATCAGTGCTAGGAGAATTGTAATCTGCCATAGCATACATTGCTGAGCTCCATCAAATGCCAGGGTTTGCATTTGATCAGGAAGGAATCCCAGTCATTTCTTCCAAATCACTTTTGTGAGATAAGTCCTGCTGTTTGAATTGGAAGTAATGCTAAACTTCCCCATGAATAATGCAGTATATTAGCATTTAGGCTTTCTGAGGAAATTACCCCTGAGGCTGCATTCAAGCGTGTCTGAAGAGGTTTATTTGAACTCTGTCCCTCGGTCTCTTTTGTTTGTTTAACCAGAGGAGAAAGATGCCATTCAAACTCAAGTGGCTCTGAATTACAGAACTGACACATCTGGAAGTTCAAATCACTGTCTTTGTGCCGTCTATCAGAATAAAAGAAAAAAAGTCTTGATAACACACAGGTTCGTGAGTTAAAAAGATGGCTGCTGGCGACTGACGGCAAGCTTTTAGAACCATGGTTTGATACAAAAAAAATAAAGTGAGAACAAACAGTCTGGTGGGATTTCTTCATGTGTCCTAAACTAATATAAACAGCAGACAAGGAGGATTACAGCTCAAAAGGCTCAAGCTGTCCATCCTGTTTTGGCTTAAAGTGCGACAACTGAACTCAGATCTAATTTGACTTTCTCTCTCTGTCAAACTCTGGAGGAGAGCAGCTGAAAACCCAAACATTTCAAAATAAACATTCCTGTCTTTCAACCTTCATGGACTCTGGAAAAAGGAGAAATACTTTATTTGAGAAATACTACAGCTTAGCCACTACATCTTAAAGATAAAGAAAGGAGAATTTGACATCCAAGATTTTGAGGTTAAAAGAAGCTCAGTATAAATTCCTTACCGCCAGAGACAAGAGAGAAAGAGCAGCAACTTGGCAGAAATACAGCCAGGTGATGAATTTCACACTCACACACACATTAAAAGACACTACAAGTTACACACTACAAGAAAGAAAGACTAATAAATGCACAAGCATGTCATAACAAGTGTGCACACAAACACAGGACTGCTGCGAGCACTAACATGCTCTCCGAAGCATGATGCACATGAATTACAGAACATATTGCTCGGCTAGTGAGGAGTCCCACTGTAAGAGATGTACAGTCGGCTGTGGGAGGGATACAGCTTGATTAATTGGATTTCATGCTGAGTGAGCACATATTTGCAGTACCCTCTCAGCAAGACTCGCTGCTCTTTAAACACACATAAACTAGACCCTCCAGAAAAACGCGATTATGCGATCGCATAATTTACCGCATAATCAGCAAAATAGTGCATATTTTTAAAAGGCCGCATATTTCTTAAAAGGTCGCATAATCCCCGCATTTTTCCACACAAAATTGAGGAAAAAAAAAGTTAACGTGAAGTAGTGATGTCATCAGCTCGCGCAGGTAAACAACACCGTAGAGTGAATGTGTGGAACTCACACGAGAGAGAAAAGCAACAAGATCAGCGCCATATAGATTATTATATAGCCTACTATTATACTATTATTATTATATACTATTATAATTATACTATTATACGGCTCTGACCAAGATGAACAAATAGAATCCATCCCATTTGCCTACGAACATTTCTGCTAAAGACCGGGCAAAGCAGTACGCAGATGTCTTGCACGAAAGTGGGGGGAAACTATTCGGCACCCCGTGCAACTGTGTGTTGGAACATACAAGATTGAAGCTGGTCAGATAACGAACGGGTAAATGAAAACAGAATGAGGCGGAGGTGTGTGTGTGTGTGTGTGTGTGTATCATAGGAACTCTTTAAAAGGGCTTCCTTTCATTCAGTAGTAGCCTAGTAACAGGGTGTGGGAGAAGAATCACCTTTTTTCCGCCTCCCGCATATTTCGCAACTTTTCGCATATTTCCGCATATTTCGCAACTTCTCCGCATATTTCGCATAAAAACCCCGCATGTTTAATCGCATAATCAAGGATTTTAGCCAGCATAATCAAGGATTTTAGCCCGCGTTTTTCTGGAGGGTCTAATAAACACGTACACACACACACACATCTGTGATGCAGCAAAACTGAAAAATGGAAGATGTCAGGAGAGAGGAAGGAAACAAGAGACCAAGTGAAGAGGCAGAGGAAGAAAAAGTAGTAAGTATATCAGAAAGAGTATTTTAACAATAAGGAGCATTACAAAACCAGACACACATCAGATGAAGAGATAATGACCTGGACGGAGAGACACAGAGGGTGATTAGAAGGAAAACAGTGTAAGGCAAGGTCATTTCAACTGGTAGCTACAGTGTGGAGGTGTGTACAGTTTAGAGGCGCAACAATACATCTTATTCATTCACAACACTGCAAGTTGGGAACTGTAGTGAGACAAATGAGTAAGACCAGGAAGTTAAAGCCACAAGAAAACAAACAGGGCTACAGAAACAAACACACTTTCCCCCACCAGAATCTTACCTGTTGTTCCGTTTGATTGACCCCGAGCAGAAACACCAGCTCCGACAAAAACATGGCCGCCGCTGTGTTTGAATGAATGCTTCTCATGTTGGACTTGAGGCCTCGGAGGCAGGAGAGCACCAGGACGGTGAAGAGGAGGGCCATCATGGAGAGGCACAGACAGGAGTAAGTGATCAGGGCCAGGGTCTCCAGATCCCCCTCCAGCTGCTGCTCAGAGGGAGAGGAGAGGAGGGAGAGAGGGGGTCAGTGGATTTATATCATTATTTTGATGGAAGATGGACAGGAATGGAAGAGGAAAAGAAAAATAGGAACTAATGATGAGGAATAAACATCTTAAAGACATTTTTCAATTCATGTAAACTACACCTTATTTGTAGAAATATAGAACTTTAAATTCATCTTGAGGCATGAGGTTTCTGATTCCTCACTCTTCTAGCCTCAAACATCCACATCTGATCCATCATCACTTAGTATGCTGTGCCGCGATGGCCAGGGGGTTTGTATTAAACCGTGAAAATCTTCTACAGCTGTAACAAGCTTCCTTTAGCCCTCAGAATGTCAGGCCGAATTAATTATGTGGGATTTCAAACCTTTACATCCACTAAATCTAGCCATTTTCAGCTTAGATGTTTAAAAGTTAAAAAAAGAAGAAGAACTGACACACTTGCAGAAATAGGTATGTGTGTCTAAACAGCGGGATCGGGATAGGAGATGTACAATTAATCCAATACAGACCTCATTATGATGAGTGGCATATGAAGTAAATGAAATGTTTGTTAATATGTGGATCATACTGCATATCTGTAAGTAGGTCTCCACAAACCACTGACCTCTCTGTGTGAGCTGTCCATCAGCACGCCGAAGGTGCCCAGTCTCTGACACTGACAGCGGACATGAGAGGTGTTCCTGTAGACCACCATGCAGTCCCTGACTGTCCAACAACCCCCGATCTCATACCTGCAGAGACAGAGAGAGGGTTAGTTATGAAAAGTTCTCATTTTAAAAGAGACTGAAACAAAGAAATGGAAAGACTGACTGTTTCTTATGTGCAACACATCTACTTTGTAGCGTCCATGTTGTTTCCACATTAGGTTCATGAATACATCAAAGTTTGACTCTCCAACCCAAAATTGGACCATAGAAGGAGCATGAGAAAGCATCTTAAAATCCATCAGCATTACAAAACAAGGGTTAAGTGTTGCGGCTTGTGTGTGAATTTCAAATATCATGTTTTATCATGTGTGTCACGGTTTATATGTGGCACTGTCTAAAAAGTAAAAACACTAATAAATTGCAATTTAAAATGTTGTAATTCCAGTTAATGCTTGACAATATTGACCATAAATCATAACATCTTTATTACTAATGCTCTACTTTTGAAAGAGCTGTGGTTTAACTCAGTAACTTTTGTACACAGTGACACCTTATCGTGATGTTGGCGCTGGCAAAAGCTTTGCTGTGGTCCAGTCAAAATAAGCGAGTGGCACTGAGCAGAGGAGAGGTGCAAAAACTGGCATAGCTTTATAGAATAAATGGGTTTTTCAACACAACGTCAAATGTTATTGATACAAAGAGTATGGTCTCATCCTATATCTTGTTTGAAAGTATACCAATATACAGCCTGTACTCACTGGTTACTGTGGTTCCACTGCACACACAGTGGCTTGCTGCGATTGGCCGTCTCCAGAAGCTTGAACTCGAGCAGGATGGGCTGGTCCAGGTGTCCGCCCACAAACGTCTGGTTGTTGAAGACAGAGACACTGACCACCGGGGAGTTCATTACCGGGTGTCTGGGAAGCCTGAGGGAGGGAGAGAGATCGCACAGTTACCGTACCGTAAGACTGAAGAGAAGTTTAATGTGCTGGTTAGGACAGTAAACAATGGCAAAGACAAGGTGAGCAGAGAGGAGCAGGATTTGTACACTAAATGGGGCTTAAATGACAGTTTATTGACACCTACTGGAAACTGGACAGTGTGTTACTTTGTAATTAAGCCCGTAGGCAGTGCTGGGCAAGTTACTTCCAAAATGTAATACAGTACATATTACTTATTACTGTCTTTTTTAAGTAATAAGTTACATTACAATATTACTGTCTCTGAAATGTAATGAGTTACACTACTTTTATATTACTTTTGAGTTACTTTCACCAAAAGAACCGCAAAATAATGGCTAGGTATTTTAAATGCTAAAATGTAGTTTAGTGCAGCAACTGTGTAGGCCCTTAATGCTACTAACTTTTATTACAAGGCTTAGTTGAATACTCGATTCTGATTGGTCAATTCCGTTGCTAAGGAGAATCAAGAAAGAGAAAGTAAAAGAGGGTAAAAGACGGAGCGCTGGACGTCAGATAAATGAACAGAAGAAGACAGACACATCCCATAATTCATCACATTTTTAACATTTTAACTTTAACATTGCGCAGCTCGTTAAGGCAGAGTGCGTGATGTCACAGCTAGAGGGTAGGAAATCTTGAAATTTGCCTTCATATTTTTTTTTAAAACTGCCATAATTGATACATACTTTTTCATGACAAACGTAGGAAAACATCTCGTAGCTTGAAAAATGACAAATAATTAAGCAAAATAATTAAACAAAATGCCTCTTGAGGGCATGAAGTGACAAAAACGTTCAACATGTCTCCATTAAAGCCCATTGTGATTTCAGGCTGATATTTCCTCACAGCAGCAGCCGCACACCTTTAGTTAAACTGCCAAAAAGGCCACATTATTAACCCGAAAGTACACAAAAATTACACTTCAGATACTCAACTTCAGTGAAAATTTCACAGGTTTGCTAACGATGCAGCCATCAACGCATCTAAGCGTATTATGGGGTGTCATCAAATGCCGTTGCCATGGCGACAGCCCACTTGCCATGAAAGACGATGTCGCTGTAGGTCCAATGGACACGGTCCAATCGTCCCCCCAATCTTCACTTGTATATCACCGGTCCATGCCTCAACAGCTCTACGCCAAATTTGAAATCTCACCATATGCCGTTTCCATGGAAAACGCCATGAAACACGTGAAAATGCTTCAAACGGTCCAAAACTTCACAGGTTTGGTAACGATACAGCCATCAACGCATCTAAGCGTATTATGGGGTGTCATCAAATGCCGTTGCCATGGCGACAGATCATTCACCATCAAGTTAGTTAAAAAGTTTGCAGTTCAAATATTCTGCTGCTTTTCCAAGCCTTTTTACTTTCTTTTCTTCACTCATCACACATTCAAGCCCCCAGTGTTCATGTATCATTTCAATCTAAATTCTTCACTTTCTTCTTACACATTACATTTCAGCATAGCAGTTTAGCGTCAGATTTTCAGCATAAAGCATTCCCACTAGCAATTTCTTCAGGAATTGCATTCTCTAGTTATGAATGTTGTTACATCAAGGCTGAAAATTAGGATGAGCCAAACAGTCAAAAAGGTTTTTTTCCCTCCCAGAACCACCAGCGCAGTGCCCCCCCCCAGACCTGGCGCCCTAGGCGACCGCCTATGTCGCCTATGCCAAAAACCGGCCCTGCTTCAGGCTCATCAAGATCAGCCTGACTGATTACGTAAACACCAGGATAACTAATCTACCCGCACAATTTTTCTCTGGTGTCGGAATGTCTCGCGATGTTAGTGAATTCTTAAAAAACAAAACACCATTTAATTTCGGGTTAAAATGTGTTGTAACTGCGTTACTGAGAATTGTAACGGGTAGTATATTACCCAAATTGCATTAGTAATGCGTTACATTACTTCGTTACAGCAAAAAGTAATACATTACTGTAACTCCGTTACTTTTGTAACGCGTTACACCCAACACTGCCCATAGGTTAGGTGAGAAAGAGAAGAGGGGGACAGTGGTGGGAGAAGAGGCGTGAGAGGAGAAGTGATACCATGAGCGAAAGGACAGAAAGGTACAGATGTTAAGATATCATCGATTATCAGTCAACTGACTTTTGATAATCAATCAATCAGTCGTTTAAGGTATTTATCAAGCAAAAATGCTCAACCTTTTTAATTAGAGATTTTCAAATATAAAGATTAGCTGCCTTTATGTCAGTTTAATTATTTATCCACCTATATAGAATATATATTGTTGGGGTGATCAGAAAGAATGAGCCATTTGGAGATTTGGTATTAACCCTGTTTGCTTTACCACATTTTATAAACTAAATAAATGGTGCCACTTACTATTTTTTTACACAATTCTTTCAGGTTGATGGTTACATTTAAAGAAAAGGGTATTCAGTCTAAAATATGTTTCTAATAATGTGATACTCCTGTAATATAAAACAAATACATATGAGTAATCCGGCATGTTTCCTTCCTAAGAGGATTCAGACAGCTGCTGTAATGAGATTTGTATTGTTCTGAGTGAGATTGACTCCTACCTCACACCCCGCCTGTCTGTGTGATATTTTGGAGGGAGGGCGCCGCCCAGACTGCGATAGATCAACAGGATGACGATGGTGATGGGCGGCTCTGGCAGGGAAACGGTGCGTCTGGCTGCCGTGTATTCTCCTGTCTGGTTGGCTGAGATACTGATGGAGGCCGGATCATTGTTCTGAGGACCCGCGGCTAAAACAGAGAAGTCTGTGTTAGTATCTTTGTTTCTGTTTACACTTTCAAACCTTTCATTCTGTTTGTGCGTCTGTTCTTACGCTCTTTCTCTGCGCGCTCCTTCTCTGTGCGCTCCTTCTCCTTCCAGCTGTGTTGTTGTTGCTGTCGCTGTGGCACCAGGGCAGCAGGGGGCAGTATCACGTGCGTGTTGGGATCCCACAGGGTCTGGCCGCGGAACAGGGTGGTGTGGTAACGTGGGAAACGCCGGCGCACATGGGTCTGGTTTTCCACGCGGTCCAGGTTCATGACTGACAAACAAACAGGCAGCAAGATTAGACACAATAGTAGAGTATGTCATGTTCAGAATACATAAACAGAAATAATGTTATTGATCCATCATTATGAGACCTTGGTATAATTACTAGTTGAAGTGTGACGAGTTGAAATGACAGGCAGTTTATATCGAAGACTATCATTAGAAGTATGTTTCGCTGCATTAGCTTCAATGTTGTAAAGAGGGCATAGAGAGCCAAAGACTTGCCGCTATTTTAAGCTAACCTCTATTCCATTATATTTTCTCATAAGGGTTTTGTTTTTGGGCCATATTATCAGATACATTAATATCTATTATAGTACAGGACAGTTCAATTGAGCACTTTAAATCAAAGATAAAACAATCTTTGCTATCTAAATAGCATCTTACAAAACATATTTTGCTGTATACTACTGACTTTAGAGCAGAATTGTTGCCATTGTCTGTCCTCATGGCGCACTAAACTACACTGCTGCCTAGACGCTACTACAGATTAACGTAATGAAACGTTGTGTTTATGGTAGTATTACTAATGTCTCCAAACAAAAGTAGTTATGATTTATTGCTGGTACTATTCAATACAAAACAATTTATGGTGAAACCGAAATTGAATGTGTCGATAAACAAATGTATACTCTTTGAAGAGCAAATACAAAATCCATAAACACACACACATGAGCAAAGGAACTGTCGTATTATGGGAAATGAGGTGGCGAACAGAAAGTGCATAGTCAATTTGGAGTGTTCAATAATGAGTAAACACTTGACCAAGCAACAGAAGTGGAGCAGCACTCAATGCCGAGAGAGATCACTCAATATAACAGACATGTTGAACGTGTGTGTGTGTGTGTGTGTGTGTGTGTGTGTGTGTCTGTGTGTGTGTGTGTGTGTGTGTGTGTGTGTGTGTGTGTGTGCGCCTGTTGTTGTGTTAAGAGAGAGTCATTCTTTCTGATTTCAAAAGTCTGTAATGACAGTTTTGATGGAGAAACAAATGGTTTATTACTGTAGTGAAATATAATTGAATATACCACATTTTAATGGCTGATACCTACTGGAAAAAACAAAGAAATAACTTGTTTATTGGAAGCTAACAGATGGGTGCGTGACGGTTTCATCCATGTCTTTTCTGATGTTATTTTGTATATAGCATTTGGCTGAGAGCATTTACTGCCAGCGTGCTTGTGTAGGAGTGTGAAATGTAGTGTGGGCTGTATTTCTTATTCCTTCTGCTTTCACTGCTGATGCTGCTGCTAATTCTGCACCCTCCGTCTGGAGATGAGCATCAGGCTGTCAGTTTAAGATGATCTGACAGCGTTTGGCAGGGAAACAGTGAAGTAACAGAGAAATGAGAGAAACATCCAATCCATAGGACAGAAATAAAAGCAGGCAATTCATTTTGGTAAGGTACTAAGTCTATTTTATATGTTGTTCAGGTCTGGGATTAACTGTGTTAGCAAACTACACTTAAAGAAGCTGATGAAGCAATATTCACTAGTTTGTAACTTTGATAGGTTTCATTAGTTCTGGTTGTATGGCTTTTCCCGTGGATCCAAAATGTGTGTGTAGCCAAGAGCATTAACGTAGCGTGAAATTCATTGTCTGGCTTCATCCCTGCCAAAGCTGCTGCTGTTGCTCTTTCAACACCTCACATTGTTGAATATGGCAAGGATTATTAAACAGTATTTCAACACATCTCGAGAGTGAGAAGAAAGATGACAGAAACTAAGTAACACAGGACACATGGCCAAACCTGCAGATGTATAGTACAGTATAAGAGTATAGTGTGTGTGTGTTTGTGTACATTTGTGTGTGTTATATTAGTCTCTTTCCAATTGAATTGATATAATTTTATAACATTTTTCACGAGTGAAATGAGGTGTTCCAGCCTTTCATTGTGCGTGTGTGTGCATGTGTGTGTGATTGTGCTCGTGTCTGTGTGTTTGTATTACTCTATGTGTGTGATCGTGTGTGTTCAGCATCTGTAAATCGAAGTGATGCATGCTGGCCGTCGTTACAGAGCTTCAGGGTTTTTGTGCATGTGCTGGAAGATTGAGCGTCTGTGTGTGTGTGTGTGTGTGTGTGAGAGGGAGTGTGAAATCTATCTCTCTGTACTGCTGCCAGCGCTCTGCCTGTGCCATCATAATTTGCATTAGCGCTGTTCATCTCCCGCTTTACAATGAGTCATTCTTGCTGATTTCACAGCAGTGATTTACAGTATTCTAAGAAAAGCACTGCAAATCGTCTGTAAAGATTACGATTTGATTACTGTCTTAGCCTCTTTTAGCGGCTCTGGTTAGAGATGATCTTTTGTAATATGTTTTGAGGCTCTGGCTGTGTGTGGAGTCATTCTGAACTCACCGATGTTTGGAGCAACCAGCGCCACAGGGTTGAGGTAGGTGAGCTTCATGTTCTGGGCCAGGTTCTGGGTGTACTGCTCCAGCAGCTCCGTCAGCTCCGCCGGGCCGCCCCCTGGGATGTGGTTCTGACTCTGAGCGAGGGCCCGCCACAGCCCCGAGGTACCAGGACCCAACAGAACACTGCAGCCTCGCACCAGGTTCTGCAAGCAGAGGGAAGAGGAATGTTCAGTGATAGGAGAAAGGAAATGCACAAGAGTAGGTAGTGGAGATATGTTTTTCAGCAGATGCTTCAGCAGATAAAGAGACAACAATAATATATAAGACACAAAAGTAACACATATCAAGATGTTGGATCAGAAAGGGAAAATGGAGATTTCTTTTTGCAGAAACCAGCTAATACTACCCAAAGGATGCAAACAATAAACAGGGTTCATACACTTTTTCACCAATGATTTTCAATTACTTTTCCATGACTTCTCCATGACTTCTCCATGACTTTTCCATGACCTTTACCTAATTTTCCATGACCAAAAAAATTACTCTTTCTCAGCGGTACCACTGAAAATGGTTTATTTTAACATGGAACAGGAAAATAAGGTCTGCATATGAAACATGTTGTGCCTATCTAAATCAAATAGTAGGCTTACTAGCTTCTACACGCTAAAGCAACTCAAATCTCTCACCAGCAAAATACCTCGTCAGTTAAATGCCATTTTACGTTTCATTACAATAAGATACAGTCATTTATTATCATTATAGTATTACTATTTCGGCAATTAGATCAAATATAAATTATATTTTATGCAACTTTAGTTACATTTCCATGACTTTTCCAAAACTTTGGGAAAAATATTGTTTTCCATCACTTTTCCAGGGCCTGGAATTAGCATTTTGAATTTCCATGACTTTTCCAGGTTTTTAATGACCGTAAGAACCCTGAATAAAGCCGAATAGAGTGGGTAACTTGAGTTTGAAACCCTTTCTGGTAGAGGACATAACAATCTGATGTAAGGATCATGGGCAAAGAATGTGCACAGAGCCAAAACATAAAATCCAAACACGTCCTGACCCCAATTATAGCTCCGTTTTACCACACACAGTGCCATTAAGGCGCAGCGCCCCCAATTCATTTCATAAACTGGTTATATATAGTCTAGACTGCACAGCGTTTCAAAATGTTCTGAACAAACAAAAGAGTCATCTCAAAGATCAAGGGAGAGAGAGAAAGAGAGGAAAATGCATCATGTGATTCTTTGCAGTCTGACTGCACCAGACCCAATAAAGCACTGCAGTCTCACGTGAGGCTCCGGGGAGAAGAAATGCACAAGAAAAGCTTCAGACCAACAATGAACACAATATAGACTGCATTATAGGAACAACGTAGTGGATTGTAGGAAGAGTCAGGAACAAGGATTGTGGGTAAGGAAGTGGCAATGAGAAGGAACATATAAAACCTATAGACTTTATAGAAAGCTATAAAAAGAAGGTTAACCTTGGCTCAGAGATGGAAGGAAAAGAGAGAAAGGTGGCCTGGAAAACACATGGACAGTTGTGATTGGAAGGAGATAGTGAGCAAGGAGAGTGATTGTTGAAGGTATTGGAGTATTTATGTAACAGGAAGTTTGTGGAGACATTCCTGCAAAAAGTCTTGCGCAACATGATTTGACTAAAGTAGTGATAGCAAATAGGATAATGACATTTGCAGTCCAGTGTCCATTCATAATCATGTGGTCGAGTTGAGAAAAGCATTAACTTAAATGATATTATTCAGATTGAAAATAGGACTTTCCTCGATACAAATGTAATGCAGGGTCTTAAGCTCCACACCCTATCAGTTTGTACACTGTGCAAGAGCTCGGATTGCCTGTTTTATAAAGAGGCTGAAAAACAATGGAGACTACAGAAGCACAGAGCTGCAGCAGATGAGAGGATTACAGGCTGAGGAGGAGCAGGGCGACTGGGCGACTGGGCGACAGCATGACACCGGTTACAACATAGCTCTAAAAAACATGTCACATTTTGTATTTCTAAACTATTTGAACCAAACCATTTTTAAATCACATTCGATTTCTTAAATTGTATTTCTTTATTAATAACATTCCCATCTCTTCTCACCCTTCATTTGTGTAGATTCCCACTATGAGAATTATTACCTGTTGGGCGGTACATCGGTGTCCGAATGACAGATTGTTTGATGAATATTTCATTCACACGATATGTGATTTTCTCTGCCTCATTATGAAACAAATTTGGCATATTTTTGCCGTGTACTTGATGAGACGTGAGCCCTATCTGGAGGTGTGGTACTCTCCGGATAGATCTGATCACAGCTTGACATGAAAGATGTCTTCCTCATCGCCAGGTTCCCCATGTGAAGACTCCTCTTGGCTCCCTTCCTTTGTTTCTCCTGCAGCCACGGGGCTCCGCTACCACCGCTGGGTTACTATAGTAACTGTGTTCTACATTACCTGTTTGTCTGGCCTAAAGGCTGCTGCTTAAAGTGATGTGTAAAGTATTACCAGATATATGATATCTATTTTTTATGGGTGAGAATATATGGGCTGCCTGCCGCTCCACTCCAGCGGTGCCAGGGTAAACCAGAGCCGCCTCATTAACTCAGGATGATGATATGTGGGCAGCACGTTTTACAGCCCGAGGTACAGGTTACAATGAGGCGAGTTCAGGTTCTGTTTTCTAGGAACTGCAAACTGAAATATAAATCATGACTGTACAAGTGTGGCAACATAAGGCTGCTTATATTGCTGTAGAGAAACACTCCGAATGTTAAACCCTAATGACCATATTTCTGATTTACTGTCAGGGGAAACAGTAAAGTCAGATGTCAGGCAGGAAAAGGTTTTCATTTCACTCACTACAGCATGATGTGAATGCTGCTGCTGTGTTGCTATAGCAACTGTACTTGTTAGCCAATGTATTGATCACAAGCAGCAATACACTGTACCAGGCGTGAGGCTCTGATGCTCTCGAGTTCACCAACAAAGTACTCATGTTCATTTAAGATCGGTTATGAATGAGGGTTTATAAATAATTAGTCATCATTTAGACTTTATTTAACGAGTCAGGCTCTGACAGATGCTGTTTGTAATAATAGGGAGTAAAGAAATATGGGATGGCATCCCTTCTCTTTTATTCACAGTGTGATAACGGCAGCCACAGTGTGCAACAAGTGTGTATTAAATCAGAGAAATGTGAGTGCTTTTTATTTCATTGTTCACCTCAGAGGAAAAGATGCACTCTTCCTTTGACTCAGTGAAGATACAATGTGACAACCAGACCTTATGCCATAAACTACAAGGAGTTGTTATTGCTTATATAGAACCACACAATAAACAGAGTGAAGGTCACTGGATCTTTTAACGCTGGAAATATTTTAAAATGCCCCCTAATACACAGGTTTTTGAATAAAAAATGCAAGTGTTCAAATTTAAGTATTTTTACAAAAGCTTAATTATATTAACTAAAATGTTTTAATTTAATTAGAAAACGACAGAGATGATACTACCACACCTACTCAGTTTCTATAGCAACCTGCTCTTAGCCCCAACAATGACAGTATGAATCATTTCAGCTCTGTGTTATAGTTGTCATCAGGTGGAGAAATCTTTCCTGTTAGCTTCAATTATGAAATGCTCCCCTGGCTCAAGTGCAGACAAATGTGAGAGCCAAAGAAATGCCTTTAAACTGCCCTCAATGGCCCCGGCTGAATATAAATCCCGTCCCACTGCATAAACGTGCTGGAACTTACTCTTCAGATAAAGATAAATAAATGATGATGTCAGGTAGTGTGAGATTACTATTCAACACTACACTTCTCATAGAAATACTGTACAAAGACCTCAGCCTTAAGAGATAAGAGAAAGTAAAAACCTTGAAAAAAACAACGATTGATATCAGTGATGCATTTCAAACAGAATGGTATAATACGTGTATTACACAATGTAATTATAGAAATTTGATTTATTGGGATAAACCCCTTGAGATGCACCATCTCGTTTTCAAGGGGGTACTTACTGTAATACTGTAAGTAACAACTATGGAAAGACTTTAACAATGTTCTTTATAACAAGATCAGAGCCACCATTGTTGGAGGCTCTGTGTGTCTGGAGCTGCACGGAACTAAAGCATTTCTGGAAAAATGTCAATGCAACTATAAAAACCATGATGGGATATTCTGTTCCAGACACATGTGCTCTGCTGTGCCGTAGGAACACAGAGGCCCTTTTTACCTGGCAAACAAAGCTTAGAGAGATCGGATTTATAGAGAACAAGAAAATGGTATACAGCTGAGCCTCCAGGGAAATAACAAAGATTCTATTCAATGGAAATGCCGACATACAAACTAAAATATAAAGGCGATATGTACCACAAGACCAAGGAAAAATGTCAATACGTAACTGAACGCTTACTTTTATCATGATATAACTGAGAATGTTTTGCTGTTTAGTTATACGTATTGCATTGATTGATGCTCATGATGTTACGTCCAGAGCTGGAAACACAATCAAAGTAATACTTTACCATGACTTCTAATAATTCTACTATTACTTTTATTACTACTACTGTAGATGTGTACTGTAGCAAAGTGTAACAATGTGTATTTGAAAGACAGAAAAAAACATTTGACTAATTACATTTTCCCCACGATTTGAAATTAAATTCTCCCCCTTAATGAAAATGTTTACACTGTTGTCAGCATGTCAATTTTACTTCACTGTTTCCATAGTGATGTGCAATGTGTCAACTACTGACACACGAGGCAATAAATTGAAACAGGAGTTTACCATGTGAGATTGGGGGGGGGGTTTACTTTATATTGCCAGCCACTCACTTGTGATTCATGGACATCTCATTTGTTGTCAGCTAAAGTTGATGTGTACGCTAAATATTTATAGCAAAATGATACGGAGATCTCTGTTGGCGCCTTTATGTCAAAACGCCGACACGCTAAAATTATCCTCAGCTGAAGCGGCCGTATCAGGTGAAATGAGACGCTGTCAGTTAATTTGGGAAAATGACATGTTGCAGTATTTCATGAGCTACTGTCACTGCATCGCCATAGCAACATTACCACCCATATCAGAAAAAAAAGACATCACGCTGAAGAACTCGTCAAAGCATCTGTACACGATATCAATCATATCTGCAGTTTCAAATAACAGCATGTCTTCTGGCAGACTGTCGTTGCTGGAAGCAGTATACTGTATATAGTGGAAATCTGGTATAGTCCTTAAAATAACCTAAATAACCTATAAATCATTACATTTGTGATAGTAGAATATCAAACCCAAAAATTCTATCAAGTATTCAAGTGTGCAGATTAGCTAGTTGTTACTGTACACTTGTCTTTGTTAACAATGCCAGGTAAGTCTGTTCAAACAGAGCGGATACAGCGGCAGGGAGGAGTTTCATAACAAGCTAGGATTTCCATTGAAATCAACTTCACAGAGTATTGGATTCACAATCACCATCTTGCCTGTCATGTTTCATAACTTGGACATTTGGTGCACTTTAAAGATACTTTAAATGTACCTCTCATCAATATTTGTGGCTTAAATAGGAAAATGTTTAATTACCAACACGTCAATACAATTTCAAATGTGACCTTTAAGAAGAGTTTGCTATGGTTTAAAATCATTATTCAATGAATGTGTGCCTCCTGACAATGCTGCTTTTGGGTATTGTATATCGGATTTGAACAGCGAGGTGAATCATAAATGCCAATTACATCCCTTGTTAATGGAAAATACTCCATATATTCCACCATATGCTACAGCAAGAAACGTAGCTTCACAACTGCCCTCACTCCTCACCCTCTTACAGAGACGTATGAACAAATGTCAGAGTGACTCACAGGGAGAAAGGAAACGCAGTGAAATGGATGATTGAATCATGTTCTTTTTCTTACCTCATTAAAATGTGCGTCCTGAGTAGCGGTGAGTCCGAAGCCGGTCTGTTGGGTCTCAAAGGTCAGGAGGCGGGACAGCAGCCGCTCGGCGATCTGCAAGTCGTTGCCGTAGAGTCGGGTGGTTGCCTCGGTGACGTCACGGAGCTGGTGAGCCAGTTTCTTCTCCATGATGGTGTTCAGCTCCGTCTCGTTACGCTCCAGAGAATCAAGCTGAACATGCAGACACCAACAAAACAGTTAATACATCCACTCTTTAAATATATAAAAATGACTGGAAATTAATATGAAGATATAAATATGAACAGCAACGGTACGGATTGTCAACAAGCATCGTAGTTCATGAAGTAGCTTACACATATAAAATATCTAACCAACCCAATACAAGTACTAGAACAAGTCTCTTATCCACCTCTATCCCAGGTCTGATCTGACTTAAAGTGGACCTATCATGCTATATTTGAATAATATAGTATAGGACCATACCTATATAAGGCATATTTATACTTTTTTTTTTTCAAAATACCAAACAGATCATGCATTTTAGCCATGCCTCATTTCGCTCAATTTGAAAAATGTTAGCTCTGTTTTTGCAAGGGTTGATTCTGTGAGCAACAGCACCATCGAGAGGCCTGGCATATGTACTACAGCGTCTCCAGCGCTTTCGAACGGCAATGCCGTGGTTGTCTCCTCCTGATTGGTGGAGTTGGCCCAATAGCCGTAGCGCCACCGTCCTGACGTCAGGAAAGTGTTCAAATCTGGATCAGTTTTTATCAGATCCGTTGCAGTCCCTTTTTTAGAGATTTGGGTATGGAGGAAAATAGAGAGGGTTGTGTTTTCTGACACTTGGTGAGTTCCCTGGAACACCGGGGACACATATTCATGTATAAAAGACGTACAAAAGTACATTTTGCATGATAGGTCCCCTTTAAAGTGTGCCCCTTTCTGTGCATCTTGCCACAAAATTGAAATAAATCCCATTGTTCAAAAGAAGAGACATTTAATAAAAAAGTTTACCAACTAAAAGTTTCAAAAACATTTCGGAGATCCATAAGATAATATACAGAAAGTCCAAATGGATTGCATTTATCTTTCGGCTACATCTTAGATTAGGCCAGAATTCTGCACTTTTCACGGTATAAATAGACATTTTAGGACCCATTAAGACATGTGTTTAATTGTATAAGTGTAATTATTAGTAGTGTAATTACTCCACATACAGCAGCATTGAGCTCCACAAATGGAGGAGAGGTGCAGTTGTAAAGGTCTGGCTCCAGCCATCCTCTCTCCGCATCACAGTGTCTGATAGCTGCACCTGTGAGGAGGCAAAACACAAAGACCTTAACAAGGACGGAATTTGTATATACATTTAAGTTCAGAACTTACACAAGGTTGCATGTGAGTATACTGTATGCATATCTAAGTGTTTAAATGCTTTAGTGTGTACTGACCGACAGAGCCTTTGGGGCAGGGCACTGCGGCCGGCAGGTTGAATTTGGTCCGAGGCCACCAGATCCCCTGAGTGATGGTCTTTGGACAACCGTCGTAAATAACTGCAGAGAGAAAGAGGAAGAACAAATATTTTAAATCATTCTCATCAGTTCAATTAACTTTTAATAACATAACAAAAAGCCATTTAATATGTGGAAATGTGTTTCATTTGACTCGCAGGGAAGAAAATAATAAAAAATGAGAATAAAATACCAGCTATAAATTAAAGTAAGTAATTACAAAATGGAATGTGGAGAGTGAAGAAGCTGCACAGAAGAAAAGACCTGATACAAACAATTATCGGGGGCTTGGTAGAAAGAAGATTAATATAATCAACAGGTTTTTTTGTGATTTCAGGCATGAACGAAAGTTTGGACAAAACACAAGCATATTGAAAGCCAGAATAAAAGAAGAAACTGATATCCTATTATAGACTGTAATGATATTCATTTCTGTTAAACTCCATGAAGGATTTACTCTGCATAAAGACTGGTTTAAAATCATACATCGTGTCTCTCACACGATAGCGTTGTTGGTCTTACTTGCCAAGGGAATATTATACTAAAGAAACAAAGAAGTATCAAATTGTTTTGGCTATTTTTGGAGAACAACACTGACAAAACTAAAATATTTAAGCCGGCTTTGCAAACTATTGTTAAACAGCAGATTTCTTTGTTCAATCCTTTCATTCAATCATTTTTGTCAATGAACTGCATAGTAGCTTTAAGATAGTGACACATACTTAGCGAATTAGTAAAAGTGTAAAAGCAGTTGGCTGAAAAACAATTTCACAGTTCTTTTCCCTAATCGACAGATATGTCTCAGATGTGATGCTGAGCACATGGACCAAAAAATAGATACAGTACTTGTTATTATTTGTTAGAATAGAATAGAATAGGGAGGGATGAAACCCTCTTTAATGGTCACACATGCAGAGCACACAGCACACACAGTGAAATTTGGCCTCTGCTTTTAACCCATCCTAGTACAAGGAGTCTAGTACTAGGAGCAGTGGGCAGCTATTGTACAGCGCCCGGGGAGCAATGGGAGTGGGGGGGAAGGGGGGGTGTCCGGTGCCTTGCTCAAGGGCACCACGGCAGGGCAGGAGGTGAACTGGGACCTCTCCAAGTAGAAGTCCACACTCCATATTTAGGTCTGGTCGGGGACTTGAACCAGCGACCCAACGGCTCCCAGTCCAAGCCCCTACTGACTAAGCCACTGCCGGACATTGTTCATTGGGTAAAACGGAGTCATTTAACATGTCTGTAACATGTTACATGTACATGTTACATGTTACATGTACATGTCTGTAACAGAAGATATAAACCTCCTCACCATCACATCCTGTCGTCGTGACCTCAGCGAAGGGGCTGTCACATGCGTTGCACTGGCGACCAATCACGCCGGGCCTGCACTGGCACTGGCCTGTCTCTGGGTCACATGACCGTGAGAAGGAACCCACCGGGTAGCAGTCACATGGCAAGCAGGTGTCAGAGCCTCGCGCACGGTAGTGAAACTCCTGAACACACACACACACACACACACACACACACACACACACACACACACACACACACACACACACACACACACACACACACACACACACACACACACACACACACACACACACACACACACACACACACACACACACACACACACACACACACACACACACACCGGGAATGCATAATTAGGCACAGTGATCAAACTCAATCAGACAAATGTAAATGTCACGCTGCCAAGAACAGTGCCAGTGATTACATCAGCCCAGGATTTACAATAACACAGAGGATAGGGCTGTGACAGGGACATGACTACAAGAGCAACAGTTCATGCGTGATGTGAAGAGAGCCAGAGATAAAGGAAAGATGTTAACTGTTTAGTTTGCCAAACTGAGTGAAAACAATAAATAATAATAATATAATATATATATATATATTATATTATTATTAAATATGCTTCTACATTCATCTGCTGACGGTAAAAATGATTCTCTGTGTTTAGATGTCATTTGAATTATTTCCAACTAATTAATTGAAACCCCATATCAGGCCCAAATGATCAGGGTAGCGTTTCAGGGTATTCTTAAATGTCTTCGAACATGTCTGAAGTGGATCTTTAAGGAGAGTTGTAATTACCAAACAATCAGCCTGTAGCAGCGTTGTGTTGCATTTTATAAGTAATTTGTTCTTGTTGTATTGTCTTAATCATGGACAGGGCACTAAAGAGTCAAAGGCCCAAACATAATAACAACACAATTTAAAAAAACGGTTTCAACAAGAATAATACCTTTAAAGGGTCCACAGTGTTAATTGCAAATGTGTGCTCAGCACAATTACAAATATTAAGATGCACTTGATTATCTTGAAAACAAAATATGTTTTCTTGAACTGAAGGGCAATACACACTTATTAAAATCATTGTGATGCTTGAATAAAAGTGTTTCTATATTGTGAGCATCAAAAGCTGTAAAAAAGCCTTTATTTCAAAGCTCGGTTACTAAGAACAAGGAGCAAAGGGCACAGGGCAACATCTGGTTAAGTACGTTGTTCAAGGGCAATATCAGAGATTAAAGATTAGGGTCAAAAAATCAGATTAGGGAACGGATAAAACAGGGTTCAAATGCTGGCTACACACAAACATATATATATATACACATGTCAAACAAAGCAGAAATATAGATATGTAGGGATGATCACTGTATCATGGTTGAATGATTCTATATGTCTGGCTTAGCCTGTCGGACCGTCACACTGCGAGACGATTACTCTGCCTGGGATAAACCAAAGTGAGAGTTACACCACTAAAATCCTTCTAATCCTGACAGTATTAGTATCAATGCCATGATGTGAAACGTCATAGCAGCAGGTCTGTAAACACTCAATAGAGCTTTGAACAGCTACCGTATAACAGTTGTGACACATGATGAATATATCCAGTACATTTAAAACGTAAAACATCTACATTTAATAGAAAAAGAACATTCATTTTTTCAGCAAAAATAACGGTTCTATTCACAGATGTCGGATTTGCACGTGTGTTTGGTTACCTTGCAGTGACAGAGTCCGCTGGTCTTGTTGCAGTCGGGGTCGAAGCCTTTGTCGGCGTCACAGTGACACGGCCCGCAGGTGGGAGAACCCCACCACCCCCTGGGACACTGGTGATCGATCCTGCACACACACGAGTAAGATCAGGAACCAGTAAGGACAAAGAGAGCAAAGGGGCAGCAGAGCATGTCCAACACTTTGATTTGCTCATCAAAGGAAGCCTCTGATTTCTAACCAATAAATCAACTGATGAGCTTGACACAAAGAAATGAAAGAGAAATACAGTCGGTGAGAAAAGGAGAGGCGGGGGAAACTAAGAGAGGGATCACACTGAGAGAAGATATTGATAGTGAAAGGTGCAGGGAGAAGCTAGAGAGGAAAAAAAGTTGAAAGAATAACAAATAATTCAGCTTTCAGTTATAGACCGTCATTATCTAAAATATAGACAATGACATTTAAGCAAAAATACCTGTATCTATTCATTCAGATTGAATATCACTCTGGTTTATCGTTCACTTATTCTCTTTGCTCACATCTGTGTTAATGTGCTCTCCCTCCGTTCTCTCACTGTGTAATGGATCACTGAGGAGATGAATGCTCTTCACAGTCTGTGCAGATTCTTCTCTGTGAGTCTGTATTGTTCCTTACGGGGACTTTAGAAGAGGTAATCCAGATATCCCTGATCTTAATGGGATATAAGAATCGAATATTTCTCCTCCTGAGTTTTTTTGATTCATCTCCAGACTCTTTATCAAATGAAGCGTCTCTCCCTGCTGTGTGTTTTGGGCTGCTTTAAGGGCTCATAATGCAAAAACAAACACAAGCAGAGCCAAGCGCTTTGACTAATCGTAACTGGGAGAGAAGCTGTGCTGACTTTGCTTTGATGAATATGTATTTCCTACAAACTGTCAGTTAAGATTATGTGTGTTCATTATATACACGGCAGGGCTGTACATCCGTTGTTATTGTTATGTCTTGAAAGTACAGCAAAAAGTGATATCTTCAAAGGTTTTATTTTTGATTGACCAGAAGTGAAAATAAAAATTGGAATGTTGAAAATGAACAAGCTCAGAAATGTAAAAATGTACGATTAATACATTATTATCTTTCTTTTGAATTACTAATTGATAAATGTGATTCAACTGAGTTAGTAAGAAGTTGATTAATGAGCCAGACTTCTAAATTGAGTGTCTTAATTCGAGAAGAAAGAGGGCAAATAGCAGCTGGGAATAAGAGAGAGGGAGGCACATCAAGGGAAATTTAAAGAGAGCAGACATATATTTCATCAGCAGCTGAACAGTGTGTGTCTTTGTGGAAAACACACACCAACTGGATCAAAGACGAGACACACACACACAGAACAGATCATGAGATAAACTTAAAGCTGTGAGGATTTCACGGGCAGGAAGGAAGGGAGTAAGGGGTTAGGTCAGGGTCACGCTCGCTCCACACACTGTGCGTTTAGTGTGTGTTGGTGTGTGCATTTTGTAACATTAAGTACACACTCATTCCACTGTGGATTACATGCAACGCTGGAGATGTGGGACAACAAGGCAGGACTAAAGTACAGAGACACACACACACACACACACACACACACACACACACACACACACACACACACACACACACACACACACACACACACCACACACACACACACACACACACACACACACACACACACACACACACACACACACACACACACACACACACACACACACACACACACACACACACACACGATTGAACAGAGATTAACTGGGCTAAATGCAGCATCAAATAATTTTAGACCGTGTTGGCATTTGGAGTTCAAATGTCAAGTCAATTGTGTGTGTGTGTGTGTGTGTGTGTGTGTGTGTGTGTGTGTGTACCTATGCTGGCAGTACTGTCCATAGTGGTTGTCTCCACAGTCACAGGTGTATCCGTGGGAGGAGCTGGGCTTCCTGTGGCACTTCGCCTCGTTTTCGCAGGGATTCAGATGGCAGGCGTCAGTGCAGCCTCTCCCATAGTAACCTGGGGGGGAGAGAGGGATAGGAGGAGGGGAGAGGATTCATTTCACAACCATTGACACACTTCAAGTCATACACAGACACTACCTAGCAGAAAATGCATGCCCATGTCCTTCTTAATATAGTTATACTGTATATAACTAGACCAAATGTATGATTTTCTACATGGATTACATTAGCTGGAAATACAGTGTTTTAGAATCCGTCAAATGTGAAATCTGTATCAATGTATGTGTTCAGAGGTCATAAAGGAGGAGGGTTGTACAAATAAATGTCAAGACTTTTACACCAGAGAACGGATTTGTTGTGTTGGTATCGGGGTTTAAAACCCTAAAAGAACCTAAGTTTAGTAAAGGTTGTTTTTGGTTAGATAGAAAAGGAACATAATAGAAATAGAAGTATATTTGTGATAGCTTTAACTCTACTGTATCGTAATATCAGAGAAGTACATCTGTTTGATATTTAAGTCTTTAACCAATTTAGTCTTTATGAAATACTGCATTAAATATTCTTAAATAATAAAAATGTTATCTCAAAAACTCAAAATGATCAGACAAAGGCACAGGAATTCAAAATAATGTCTGTGAAAAAATCCCTCACATTTACAATCATGAACAAACATTGACATTTAAATATGCAGAACGCTGCTCAATTTTCCATTCACGTACCAGAAATAATAACCTGTCACGTTACAAGTACACATCTCAAACATCAAACAGTGATTTCAAAAACGAAAACGCCACTCTCCTGACACACTCCAGTTGTGCCACAACTGTGCATTACAGTGCTGCCATTCGCTGAAACACAAAGCTTCACTGCCTCTCAAAGAAAATCATCACTATTGCTCTAGAAAAGGAATATATATAAAAAGATAGACATTTCAAAAATGTAACCACAAACAAAAGCTGAGCATTACAAATAATACCCCAAATGGTGAGAATAGTGTAGAATAGTGTCAATACACATAAAGAGGCTTTTCTGCTGCAATATAGATATGTAAAGCTGCTATTCTGAAAGAAGCTCGTGCAGATAAAGCACGTGATAACTCTAATGAACTTCACTTCATTTCTGTACTGGAGCACTTTGCCTGTGGAAGAGGAAAACCCATCCACGTCGAGAAGGAAGCGAGGTGATTGGATTAAGAGCAGCAGGCCTTGAGCCGATCACCACTGGAGGAGAGGGGAAGCGCTGAGGGGGAGCTAAGCTACCCCAGCTATGACCTAAAAGGCTATTCCACCAACCAGCCTGCTCCTGGCTGGTGTTAGGTCGCAGAAGAATGAGACTAAGGCTGACCCAGCGACAGGACAGTGGTTCCACTCTTGGCTTCCTGCATCAAGCTGTTGCACGTGACGACGTGACGTGGGGGGGCTGCAGGACAGAGAGCAGGACTCCGGTGAGACGAGAGGTGGTGGACTCAAACGTCAGTGGACAATGTTTTCCAGTTGTTGACTTTGATTTGAAAGATCCTCTAAGAAATTCCCCATTGTTTTACCTTGTTAACATTCCTCCTGTTTAATATTTAAAGCATGCTTTAAAGTGCATTTAGGAATGCACTTTTTATTTATTTTCTTTCGTCATGTTTCTCGAGTATGGCATAATGGATTAAGCCACAACTGCATTTTGTTGTGGAACCCTTTGCTGCATAATGACAATAAATGATGCTTGTTAATGCCCTTAAAAAGGCAACTGAGGCAGTCAGATAAAGTATGTTGTGGCCTTCAGCTGGTGCAGCCATTGGGCTCGATGGTAATCAATCCTCTGGACCAGTACTGACTGTGCAGTAACACACGCACAAAGGCAAACACATGTTCTGGTTCAGTTCAAATGTTTCATATTATGTTTGTGGATATATTTGGGATTTGGACTGTTGGTTGGACAAAAAACGATTTGAAGATGTCATCTTTGGCCAGGAAATGTACTATTTTCAAACAATGTATAAATTAAATTGACCTAATAAATCAAATAATCAAAAACCAATTATACTGACATGTACATATGTCTTGCATATTTAGTTTTTGTCCTCTCTATAATAGCCTATACATGTGTACAGTATTGTCAGAGTGAGGCCTGAGGAATGTTGCCGCAGCTAAAGATAAACTAATTTGAAAAATATGGCGTCATTGGAGAAAAGGTTGAAACGCCTCTCACGGTAATAGCGGAGGAATTTTCCTACGTAAAAGTGCAGACAGCTCACTTCAACCAGCCACTTTCCCACATTACACTTCAGTGTGCGCCTAAACAGCACCGCCACACACTTCAATGCAGTCCCCAGACACTCCACACACACACCAACACACACACACACACACACACACACACACACACACACACACACACACACACACTCCACACACACACCAACACACACACCAGCCTCTTATGTGGTAATACAGGCGAGCACATAAAACACCTCTTTCATCTGGTGACTAAAGCCGAGTGCTTCAGACACACTTCGGAGGGTATTTAGCACAAATAAAAAAGGCCTCTCACCCAGACCTGCTTTTCATTTGAAAATAACTTAATTGCTGTATTATTTAGTCTTTAATTTACCTGTATTCATACATTAAAATATGATGTAACTAAGCGGCATTATAAGACATGTTGGAATGGAAATAAAAGCATTTAAAAAAAAGTGGTATTTGAATGATTTTGTGTCCATTTTGTTTTTTCCCTTGTTATTCTTATTTAATCTGGTTTCTATTTCTTTCGTTACAGGAAGCTTAATAACCAAAGTGTCTCAGGGTTTCAATTCCAGCCTTGGAAACTTTGTTGTATTTCACACTCCTGTCTCTCTGTCCTTCGTCATTACGGTCTGTCATCTGTCACATTGAGGCGTAAGGAACATTACAAAAGAAGATATTCACACATTCAAACTGGCACAGAGGAATGAGTCATATTATTATAAAACTGATATACATTAAAATGTGCCAGAAAATGCAAAAACGATTTCATAGATGTGAGTGTGACTGAAGCTCAGTTGCTCCAAGATAAAATACTCACATCAAGAAATAGAAAACAACAATGTCATTTGTTAAAATAAGGTATTACATTCGGCCCACTGATCACACTGACTTTTTTCACCAAGAAAATCTCTGCCTCACACATACAACCCCCAACCCATACCCCCCCCACCCCCCACCCACCCCCCACCCCCCCCCCCCCCCCCCACCCCCTCAGCATCGACTTCTGCTTTCAGGCTGCTTTTTCATTTACCAGCATTGAATAGAAGGACGTCCCTATAGATTGAAGTGTGACGGAAGTGTGTGAGCGGCTTGTTGAGGTCTGCATTCCTCCCTCTGGAGCTGACAAACATGTGTGAGGTCTGCTTTAATGTGTTCCTCTATAGAAAACACAGAAACCGCTCTGCTTTTCAGGACTGTGGCCTTGGTCTCAGCTTTGGACACACACAAGGTTTCCAAGGACAGTATTCTTTAAATATTTCTGCCTGGCTTATACAATTCTTTGTGAAACTGCAAACCCACACTTTCATTCGCATGTGAGACACTATAACAACACACACTCTCCTTGCTTTTTTATAAATGTTATCTCACTTGCTCTTTCTTTGTCTTGCTTGAAAATATTTCAGGAATTATAGTTGTATTATTCCTGAAAAAAGATAATTACAGCTATTGTTCCGTTTCCAATTATTCGTTTCACTATTTGTGTTCACGTACAATCAAACCCACACACAGGTATACTTATGGGATCTCACACACACACACACACCCACCCACCCACCCACCCACCCACACACACACACACACACACACACACACACACACACACACACACACACACACACACACACACACACACACACACACACACACACACACACACACACACACACACACACACACACACACACACACACACACACACACACACACACACACACACACACACACACACAGCGTTCTGTTTCTTATTTGTTCCCTCACGTTCCTCACTCTTGGTCTTCACTTCGGTGCCTTTGTCTCAAACACACACACTCCATCATCTTCTATCTGCCGTATGCATCTTTACACTTTCACCATGGCAACTGACAGAGAGAGGCGTCGACAGCCTTGGCTGTTTTCAGACTCTTATAATGACACTGGCCTTGTCAAAACAATATGAGGGAGACAGAGAGAGAGAGAGGGGGGCTTGAGCCGATACAACGAAATATATCTGTAAATCATGGGTGGGTCTGTACTTTTTTGTCTTTCACACTCAGGGTCCTAACGTGTTTTTCCTAGGCTATGCCTCTCCAGCTATCCTAAAATCTACCCTTTGTGACTCACAGCTTCATGTCTGGCTTTAGACACTTGATTGTACACAACACCAGCTTTGTTTCTCTACATGACAACCACAATCAGAAAGAGAAACAAGAAGCTGAAACACTGAAACATCCATTCGACCTCTGTGTATCCAACTTTCTGTTCTCTGATAGCTGAAAAGTTGTGAAAAACAGAATAATAGCATTGATAATTGAGCTCAATGTGTATGTCGAGTGGTCCCTCACACTGATAGTCCACATAAACATTAACATGGTTGGTTTGTTTACTGAAATAACAGGTTGATTTTGGAGTTTACATTTCAGATATCAAGCAGAAAGTGTGGTTATGCTGACTGTAAAACTCAGGTTAAAGAGACCTGCAGTGTGAATAAACAATGAGGACCGATGAGTTAAAGTTCAAAAAAGAAACCTTGCCTGCGTCATTGTGCACTGAGTATTGATACGCGTAGGTAAAACTTTCTTCAAATAGCATATTTCTGAAAAGCTCTCCAATGTACTATTCATATATCAGTACAGCAGAGCCAAATACAGCTACATTTGAGTTGTAATATCAAACCTGATCAATAAATGCCATTCCTTAGGGAGGAGTCATTTGTCACAGAGAGCAACTTGGCCCTGATTCAGCACCTTGAGGATACTGCAGGTTGAATAAAGAAAATCCAGCTTGAAACTCATAAATCTCTCCTTTTAATCCCAGAGGGTCCGAGCTCAATATACTGCAGCTGCGCACCACACCCAAACCCAACAACCTGATATAATAGACTTTCTGATAAACTCCATCTGAAGAAATATTTATGTGGCATGTGTTGTTTTCAATCACACATTTAATGTTGCAACATTAAGGAGGAAACATTGATAAATGATTTATTACTACAGTAAGAGCGGTTCCTGTTCTCAAATCCTGACCATATGTTTTCTGCATGTCATTGAGTTGGTTTTTAAACAGCTCTGGGAACTCAAGCAGACATAAATCAACCTGGCTGTAATTGATCAGATTCAATTCAAATTCGTCACTATTGTAAATTAGCCTGTAGCAACAAGCTGAGCCTGCCAATGTAAATGTACACAGAGGCTTACACACTGTATGCCTACTCAGAAAGGAAGATGAGGAGGACAGATGTCTCTGTGCTTTGTCATGCAGGACCTTGTCTCCGAGTGTGTGTGCACTGCATGAATCAGAGGCGCTGATGAGATACCCATTGGGCAAGTTTCAGCATCAGGACAAAACACACACACATAAACACGCACATGAAAGGGAATTATTCAGAGTGCACCTCTCCTTTTTTATTTTTCGCTCCCTGCCCTTATTAAACTTTGATTTGTCTCGAAACAACATTCATTGTTTAACAGTCTCCATGTTTAATGCTCATTGTGTTAATTCAAGATAATGGTAATGAGAGACAGTGTTTACAGTAAATAAATGCATGCCTATGAAGATGACTTGTGCATATGCTCTGTGTGTGTGTGAAGGCGTCAGTGTGTGTGAGTGCAGCCTCTCTCTGCCTGTGTTCTCCATGTTAATGAGTCAAGGTGTTAGCATTAGCTCGCGGCTACTGCAGGATGCTACAGGGATAGCAGCGCCTCTCTGCTTCCTCTGCTATGCTGTTGGGCCTGAGGCTAGCTCACGTTAACAAACTTTATCCTCCATGAAACTCTCTCACTCCCCTCTCTTTGACTCGCTTCCCCTCCGCTTTAATCTTGTGCACTCATTATCAAACTTTTCTTTCTTGGAAAACTTTCCTTTGATTTCTCTTCTTTCATCTGGAGGAAGACACTGAGATCTCTAATTAGAAGCACTATTTAGTTTGGTTCAGTTAACTTACAGAGAAGTGAAAGAATCAACGTTAGTGCTGAGGCAGTCTGTGTTCAGCTGAAACACCGACCTGCCACCGGTCACTTACTGTCCCCCCTATTGGCTTGAAGCCTTGCCTCACTTCACGTCTCTGTGACTTATGCTGCTGCTTGTGGCTGTTAAAATAGAACCGTGTACTATTTTGCGCTCCTGTCTTTTATGGCAACAATGAGACTGGCCAATCACAGCCCATACTTGAACTCGATAGCATATTGTTTTGTTTTTAATTCAATTAAAACAGTTTTTTGTGCCTTTTAGGAGAAAGTTTCAGACAATATTTCCAAAATGTTTAGTGCTTTGTCCCAATCATTACTGTTTATACAACCAACCATGAGTAGTATATGTCTTTAGACGGCAACAGGGGGAAAGAATAATGCACAAACACCACCAATAGAGAGTAGAGGGCATTTGTTAATTTGGTGTTAATATGTTAATAAAGCTATCTCTATGTATAATGCACTGGTTCCTCCATAGTTTTCATTGTATTGGAAGAAGAGTGGAGCTAGCCTAGTAAGGATTTTGATACAGCCTGATAAGCATGATGTATGATGATGAAGCTTTGAGGGTATAACCTGATCCCAACTGTGATACATGAATAGTGGCTGTTTATCAAAAAGCTCACCCAAATGTTGGAACATGTTATTATGTATTGACTGGAAATGCAGAATAGCAACTGTATTGAAATATAGCATCTAATGAACAGGCTAACAGCACAGTGCATTTGAAGTTCTCAAACTAGTCCAGATGGTAACAGTACATCTCCAGATATATCTAAGGACAGATCCACGCCGAGATGAGGGTAAAGGCTGGATAGTGGCTGCTCAGATTGATCGACCTAGAGATTAAAAAGTTGTCTGGATACTTTCTCCGTTTCCTTCTATTGCTTTCGTCTTTCAAGTGGTCGCTTTTTCGTTATTTGCTTTCCAATCTGGGATCTTGTCTCTCTTGAATCATTAATATAGATAATCTCTTGTAATCATCTCTGCTTGGTTGGTCTAGTCTGTTTAATCAATACCAGAGAACTGAACTGCAGCTGTTGCTTCAGTAGCTGCTAATAAAGCTTAAATAAACATTACATATCGCTCTTCGTCCTCTTCTTTGCCTTCACACTTCTTTCTCTATTGTGTTTGCATCCGTCATGTTCATTTCCCCTCACTTGTATGGTATGTCTCATTGTGCCTTTCTGCCAGCTGTGTGTGGGTCTATTCCCAGACGTGTCAACAGTGTTTTCAGGCTGTTTGATTTGACTTTCTCTCGACCTCTTTCTTCTCCTTTGTTTTCCTCTTGCCTCAAAACTTTTGGGGTTTATTTTACACTATTTCTGTCACACGCCTTGTTCTCTTCATTAATCATTCAAATGTTCAGTCTCTGTTCTTCTTAGCCTCTTTTTCATCTCTCTGTATTTTCGTTTTCCTCTTTCTCTCACCACTTTTATCTATAGAGTATAATGTGTCCCTCCTCTTATCCTTTTCTTCTCCACTCTTCTTCTTCTCCTCCACATGAATTCTTCCTCATTATGTTCACCTGACTAAGGAGGTTTTGGGAGTTCGCCTGCAGTCAGTCTCTTCCTCCCGGTCTCATGTGGATGAGGCCTCATTATGCGTTCCCAAATATCTGTTTAACCCAGTTAGAGCGCTGGCAGACACCTACGCAGATATGGCAGCGCTGTAATTATTCCCTTTTCCTGTCTCTCTTAGTCTTTTGGCTTCTTTTACAAACGCCTTTAACACATCAATTCTCTCAAATCCATGTCCAAAATGTGTTAAATTAAATATTATAAAACATTAGGAACATTTCCCTGATGCAAAGGATAGCACACATGCAATTTAACGCGCCTGACTGAAGTGCTAAATTGTTCTTGGCTGTGTCGTTTGGCCAGATTATTTAATGTATTAATTGGCGGAGTCAATAAATGATGATAGGCAAGCGATTAATAGACAGCAAGTTGTTCCAAGTCTTAAATTCCATTGTTTTTTTGATAGTAAAAAGATCTGATCAGTCAATAATCCTTAGATAATATAAAAAATGTATATTGCAAATCCTTGCTGTTATCAGAAATTCATTTGAATGAATTAGTAATTTTCCACTAATGAGGTGTTGTTAAACGGCAAATTTGTCAAGGAACAACAAGATTTAAGTCATTTATATATATCAATAATAAAAAATAAATGTCATCTTATTTTACAACTTTCTTAAGTTAAAGTGTTTAAGCTTCGTCTCCTTTTTAAAAACCCTTACTGACATCACAACAACGGCTTGTGACATCATTCACACAGCTGCAACGGCGCTGTCCAAACAGTACAATATCACAAATGAACTGACCAATTGGCATCCTTCCTTCTCTACTGCTTGTATTATTATCCTTTGTATTCACATAAATGAGAAAATCAATTTCATATTTTCATTTGTTAATCGTCAAGGATTCAAGGATGGTACCTTGTCTGCCACAGCAAGGCAAGGCAAGGCAAGTTTATTTATATAGCAGCTTTCAACACAAGGCAATTCAAAGTGCTTTACAAACATGAAAGACATTAAGAGCATTACGAAATAGTGCAGCAGAAACATATGATAAAATGGCATTTTAAAACACACAGCAGCATCATCTCTGTGTTCACTCACCAGGTTCGCAGAGACAGGTGTGACGCTCCCATTGGTCGGTACAGCGGCTGTGGCCGGGGCAAGGAGACGAGACGCAGGGGTTTCCAACATTACAGCCGGTCTCTACTTTCACAGCTCGGGAGGGGCGGGGCAGAGGGGGGGAGTCAGGCCGTACACCCAACCGAACACCCTGTACAAAGAGAGAGAGAGATGTTAAAAAAGAAAATAAATTGGCAGCTTCATTCATTTAATGTTCTAAATCTATCCTAAACTTGTTCCTAAGCACATTTGCATTTATTACAGTTTGTGCCAATATTTCCATCTTTCCCCAGCAATCGTTTCATTAATAGTTATTAGGAATTTCAAATCACCCACCTGTATGCATCCTTTTATCCCGTTCTGAACCTCTCCGGAGCCCAGCACTCCTCCCACATGCAGATGTTTCACCTTCAGACCATGAATCTCATTTCCCACTATCACTGTTCCCTAAGGGGAGAGAGAGAGAGAGAGAGAGAGAGAGAGAGAGAGAGAGAGAGAGAGAGAGAGAGAGAGAGAGAGAGAGAGAGAGAGAGAGAGAGAGAGAGAGAGAGAGATAATGGGACCCATGGAGAGAGGAATGGCAGAGATATTATTAATATTTATGGAAACTGAACACCTGAACAAAAATACACATGGGGCACATTTGAGTATGATTATGCGACAACGTAGAACTCAATTGATATTTTATATGTAAATATCAAGGCAGTCAACACAACCGGTGAAAAATAATCAGTCACAAAGGAAGGAAGTTCCTCAACCAACAAGCTTTGTTTAAACATATGCAATAAAAAATGTATATTGCCAGGTATAAAAAATATATTGGAAGGGACTCTTTTATATTGATATTTACCTCAATATGAGTTAGTAGTCATGTTTAATGAAGCTTATGTCAGTAAAGCGGGGAGGGGGGGGGGGGGGGGCTGCAGGGTAATTGATTGACATCATTAAATAAAAGAAAACAATAACATGCAGTCATTGTGGAGAAGGTCAATACCCGACTGATGACACTGACAGTGTTGTGGAGCAATGCTGACAGGCAACTTAAGCTTGCATCAACCATGGAAATAAATCAATGAGCCCCATGTAGCACCGATTCAGCAGCAGAGGAAGATGGAGGGCGGGATCTGCCTGATTACAGCTGAACACATGCCAAAAACTCTCACAGGGAATGACTGTTTAATTGGCAGTTACAATGCCAATAATGGTGTATTTAAAAACCTTTTCTGCGCCTCAGCGTAAAACTTGATGCACTTTGAAGGATAGCCTGGTGAACTACAATGGAAAGATGAAAGGCTTCACTGGCTGGCAGATCATTTAAGAATCAACACGAAAAACAAAGCATGTCGTTTTTCTTGAAGTAGGATAAATGTGAAAATAACACAGAGTGCTTCATTTTCTGTGTGCAGCATGCTTCTTTTAGATATTTACAAATCGCAAATAAACACATGTACGGGCTCAACAAACATCATCTCGTAAGATTTGATATTAATTCACCAGAAATAAGAAGGATTTCAAGCCCACATTTTTGTGAGTCAAGGGTTATGAACAATGTCAGAAACCATGCTGTGGAAGGATTTCATGCCATGTATCAGATCTAAGTTCACATCAAAGTAATATAATATATAAATGCTTTTGTAATTTGCTCATATCTTCTGAATGATCTCCTCACAGCAGGAAGTGTTTAATATTTCAGATCAGAGGATATTAAAAAGGATTTCTCTTGCCTTTATTCATATTAAAATGATTCATGATAAATGTAACGTATCTACTGACTGAGAAATGTTGTCCACCAGAGTATCTGCAAAACAAATTAATTAGGGCTAGGAAAAAAATCCTATATCTAATTGAACACAGTCAATTAAGGTTGTTTATCTGTTATTGGTGTTGGAAAAAACACCAGAAAATTAATTGTTGAGAGAAATGAAGGCTCTTTGATTTAGTAAAGAAAATATGATAAAAACCTTGTTATTCATTTATATCTGTGCTTGCAGAGAACATCTGACCGCTCATAACTGCATTTGCCATATTTTAATAAATGTGCTTGCTGCCCTAATAAAAAGCAATTCATCCTTTTTTGTAGGAACATTCAATCCGTCCTAAAAAACGTTCCCAAGTTTATTTTCTGATACAAGCTTTCCGAAGTCTGTATCACGTCTTTTACCTGATATAGTCCGAAGTCGAGCCGCAGCGTGGCGACGTATCGCGTCTCGCGGCCGCTGCGGACGTCTCGCAGCTCCAGTTGGACGTCGTGCCACTGGCCATCCGACACCTGAACCTGATCCAACCGCAGACGCACCGGCCTGGCCGACCCACGGGTCACCGAGAACACCAGCTGACCATTTATCACCTGAGGAACACATACACACAAGAGAATGTGAGGAAAGGAATCAAATAACAAGAGACTGAGGCTCGTGTGTGTGTGTGTGTGGGGGAGTGTGAAATTGAAATCTTGGCTGCACCCATAGATGCTGCTAATTCAATACCATTGGATGTAGAAAATTGAATAAATGTACATAATTTACGGATAAAACCTACCTTATTAAAAATAACGTAGGTTTTATTTTAGACACGGTTGTCTTAAGTAGAAGACGATAATGTTGTTTTACACACCGAATAGAACCACAATGACTATGAGACATAAGTATCATCCCCATAATCGACGTGACCGCTGTTAACACATTTAGCAACCCACGCTTCATTTTGTATCGTGCTGCCGGGTGAGATTAGGCTTAAAATGTGCAGCATTGTTTTATGGTATAGCATAATGCTGCCATTTATGTTTTAGTGCGGCTAAAGCTCTCCAAATTTATGCCAATGTTAAAATGGGAAAAAAAACAGGGAGGGGCAGAGGCAGAGCCGGGAATAAGAACCACTAGATAGACTACAGGGAGAGGCACTGAAAATAATCTCTCTTCTTTGGTGTAAGTGTGTGTGTGTGTGTGTGTGTGTGTGTGTGTGTGTGTGGTGTGTGTGTGTGTGTGTGTGTGTGTGTGTGTGTGTGTGTATGTGTGTGTGTGTGTGTGTGTGTGTGCGTGTGCGTGTGCGTGTGCGTGTGTGTGTGTGTGTGTGTGTTCAGGCCCACCTGGAACAGCAGACTGGTGTACTGGCCGGCCTGGGCCTGCAGCAGCGTCCCCTCTCGTGCTCTGGTCCTGAACACCAGGCCCAGGTACCAGGGCGTGGAGATGGTCACGTCGTTCTTCAGGTCCCACCAGAGGGCGCTGTTACCCAGGAAGCGATGGGGGTGTGGCATCACTGAGGGGGAGGGGGGAGGAAAGATAGTGAATAAAAAAGTTCAATATTTTGACCAAGCAAAAATAAATTGTTTGCGTCTAGCAATGATTGCATATATGCCCCGATAATGTTAAGAAGGATTTAAAGTCAAAACAACATGTTGTGTAATGCTAACTTTAATCAGCGGATATTACGTGTTTGTTATACTGACAGGCAAAACATACGTCTTATAACCTTTGAACATTTAGTTTGGAGAAAATATATGGAATAAAAGGGAATCACCAATTGTACCTTGTTATTTCAGTCAGTCAACACCTTAAAGGTTGATACTAACGCATTCAGGAATGCATCCATCCATTGCATTTATACACTCACTTTTCTCACACACTCTAAAGACCTGCAGCTGTGAAAGCTCAGCACTAAATGCAGAAGAAGTACAAGAAGAGTGCTGAAAGAAAATGCTGAATTGAAGAATAAGGCATTAACCTGAATGGATTAATGACATAGCACTTCTGAATCTAAACTACGGAAGTACCAAAGTGTGTAGCAGCTCATTAAAACAGGTTATGTTAACCGAAGTTCATTATTTACTAATTAATGTGTTATTAGTATAATTAGTTCTTACAAATAAAGGCCACTGAAGGTGAGAAAGAAACGGCCAATTATCTCAGTCACTGTCTCATTTGTTGTTACTATTATAACAAAGTGTCACAATAAAGGTTGGCTCTGGATGAAAATAAACTCATGTATCATCTCACCGTGGCTGCAGTCCTTTCCTCCGTACCCGAGCGGACATTCGCAGGAGAAAGTCTCCCAGCTCACATGGCAGGTTCCTCCATTCTGACAGGGGTTGGACTTACAGAAGGGAAGCTTCGCGCTGCAACCTTTAACAAGCAGCAGAGACAGTTTCATCAACAAACAAGTTCACAGAAATCTGTCAGCCTAATGTACTGTATGTGTCACCAAATGCATAAAAAAAGGGTGTGTCGTGATAATAAATCATGGTGTTCACGCCTCAGCTCAGCTCAATTAACAAATGCAGTTACCAATGTGCATAGTTAGGGATGAACTTTAATTGTACGTTATAGGAGGAACTCAATATTAACATTTTCTCTGCAAAAGCTCTGAACTTCTCAATTTCTTTCCTTTTAATAGTGCTTGACTAGAAATATCACAAAGATGGGGTGTCAAACCTTATTTTTTACAATCTTTCATTAATTGTTTATGTTTAGTTTAATTCCAACAACACAATCACATTACTGTGTTAACTAGCAGCCTGGAGAAATACTTAAAGGGTCCATGTCATGCTTTTCCGGTTATCCGGTGTGTTATGAAGGTTTTTATGCATGTAAACGGTGTGCAGAGTCAAAACCCTCAAAGTACACCCTGTAGCGAGTAAAACTCTAACACAGAAAATACCTCCCCAAAACGCCTCGTTGGAGATACGTCACTGCCCATTTGAGTCTTCCATTTAGTTCTGGGTACGGCATGATGTCATGCGGTACCCGGAACGAAATGGACCAATCCCGAAGAGCTATGGCCACACCCAGCGGCGCTGGCCGCACCCTCTGCCAGCCTAACATTTACTGTTGGAAGCTCTGGTTCATTTCACAATCGATCCAGTCATGCCAATGCCAAGGACCTGTTTCCTGAAATGTGAGGAGAAATCTGAGCTGTTTGTCCTACCGACGGAAGAACCACGACGAAGTCAGTGGTTGAAATTTCTTTTTAACACTGTTCCTTCAGAGGTTCGAAGAACGTTACTGTGTGCGCGGAATTTCACAGACGAAAGCTTCCAAAACATTGCCCAGTTTGAGGCCGGATATGCACAGCATTTGAAACTGAAGGACGATGCTATTCCTAGTTTGTTTGGACCGTTTGGAGCAGGGGAAGATTCGGGTACACAACCTGTAAGTTTGCATTGTTATTTGTGTATTTATCAAACAAGGTATCTACCACGACTGTTTAAATGTGTAAACATGTTTCGGACTGCTAAGCCAGTGCTAACTGTGCTAACTAAGTTGCTAGCGTTTCCATATCAACTCTAATATCAGCAGATGGCCTTACATACATGTATCTCATAGCAGGAGAATGTCTGCATTCACACACGAAATACTCATAGACAGTATACTCCAGGTGATTTACCGTACGGTCAGTCGCGAAACGTAATTACATTATAGCTGGCGTTCCGAGCGTGTATGCTACCGAGCTAAACAACAAGGCTACTAAGAGCTAGACATGAGTTTGCTCGGAAAAACATTGTTTTTATGCCAGCTACAATGAATGTAGCAGACTACCCATATAAGATTGCAATTGTAAACATGTGCTTGATAGCCTAATATGAAACACTATCTGTTGTTCATAGTATAGTATAGCATATTGAACAACTGAACAACTAGCAAACGTAGATTAGCATTGTAATCCAGCTGGCAAGCTGACGAACATCAAACAACTAAGTTTATTTCACACTTCCAGCAGAGACAACGGGGAAATCCCATCACTTTGCCCGCTCACAGACCCCCAAAGGATGGCCTAGAGACCTCCAAGGTGTCCCTGAAATGGGGACTCTGTTTATTTCACACTTCCAGCAGAGACAACGGGGAAATCCCCTCTCTTTGCCCGCTCACAGACCCCCAAAGGACGGTACATTACAGTTGTCTTTCCTCCGACGCTGATAGCATGTATAGCTAACGAGGCTAGCTATACATGCTAGCGGGAAACATTATATTTAGAGATGTCCCGATCCGATCACGTGATCGGGGATCGGAGCCGATCACGTGATTTTCAAAAGATCGGAATCGGGAGAAAAAAATCGGGGATCGGGAATTCTTTTTTTTTTTTTTTTTTTTTTTTATAAAATATTTTTATTATTTTATTGAATGTTACAAAACAAAAATTACCATGTTCACGTCTTAAAGTCATCCTGAGGCCTTAGTTTTGGTTTAAAATTACACAACATAACGTATGTGTTGCTTCTTTTGGGCTTGTTTTCATAGACCTGGTTGCTTATTTCTCTCAAATCTGGCAACAGAGTGGGCGCAGTGTCTAATAGTAGCAGTAAGCTAACAAGAGGCTACGTTCAGCTGGTGCCTCGGGAGTCGGGACAGAGAAAATGTCAGGAGTTTGGAAGTACTATAAAATTGAAAGCGAAGGCAGTGTAACAGCCAGATGCAATGTTTGCAAGGCGGAGGTTCCGCGTGGTGGAAAGAACAGAGCTACGTTCAACACGACCAATCTAATACGCCACCTGAGAAAATTATCTGTTATCTTTTTTTTCTCTTAATGCATTGCATAAAGATCGGATCGGGAAAAATCGGTATCGGCAGATTGTCAAAATCAAATGATCGGGAGCAAAAAAAGGTGATCGGGACATCCCTAATTATATTCATGCCAGTTACAATGAATGACCGAACGTAGCAGACTACCCGTATAAGATTGCAATTATAAACACGTTATTGCTAGCCTAATATGAACCACTAGCTTTTGTTCATAGTAGTTTTATTACACTCCATTATAGTTGCCGTACCTCCGAGCTAACGTTCATATCGTGTTTGCTACCAAGGTAAACAAGAAAGCTAGGTTAGCATATTAGCTGGCAAGCTTACTGTGTTGATTAGATAGATGGATTAGATAGATCCACACTCCTACCACAACTACTACTAACGAATCTAAAACAACTAACTTTCTCTAATATTTTGTGATTTGCATTTGATTTCGTCCAGCCAGATCCTGGCGGAAAATACATCACGGGGACGGGACTACCACACCGAGGCCTCGTCCTAAAAAGCCCCGGCTGCGATAAGCAAGATGCCGACAATGGGGAGGAATGGATGATATACCGTGTATATATGTATATTTATGTTCATTTTGTACATTTCTAAAAATAAAGTTTGATGGAAATACTTAGTAGGCCTATCTTTTCTTCCCTGAATTATTTGCTCCTATAACATATCATTCATATATAGCAAATATTTCTCATCAAACAGTAGTAGTTTATTACAGGTAAAAATAACTTACTCTTCTATAACAACAGTTGTAGGTACAGTTTGGTTAGTTAGCGTATAAAATATACGGCTGTACCGACGCCATTATAAGACTGTTGTTCCGCTCGCTGAGAGCGAGCCGAAAAAAGCACTGTTAGACATGGGCGGAGCCTCTCTGGTGGTTGATTAATCAGAACAGAGTGGCTGAGCTGACCAATCGGAGCACACTAGGCTCACAGGGAGGGGGGGGCAAGAGCTCCAATGAGTCGTTTAGTGGAGAGAGTGAATACTGCTGAATACACATGCTTGACAGAGATGCTGTATGCGAAACCAATGTGAGTTTGGAAAATTGCACAGTATAAATCTATTTTAGTATACCTCAACAATGTAATTATGATCAGTGGAAATGGCCATGACATGGGCCCTTTAAACTAATTACAGCTAGAGTATGTGTATGAGACTATGAGTTTTGGGTTTTTTCAAAATAAGGGTAGGATTTTGGGCATAAATGTTTCATTACTGATGTTTTTTTAGGGGGAGGGGTGTATTCTTTCGCAGTGCTGACCTGGGATCGTTCCATTGTTAGCGATGAACCCAGCCAAGTCCAGCGGCTTGCTGTCAATGTGCAGCTCCTTCATGCAGCCGATAAACTCCCTGGATCCAAACGGGAAGTTGTCCGGTACGTTGGGAACTCCGCCCAGAAACAATGGACCAGTCAGATCCAGAGACCTGAGAGAGGAGGGGATAAAGAGGAAGAGGATTCAATAAGGTGGAGCCGAAAGAGGAATAAGAAGGAAAGGATTATCCCTCAAGGATGGAGGAGGGAGGAGAGGGATGAAGGAAGAGAGGGTAGGAAAAGGAAAGCACATGAAAAGAGGGTATGAAACAGGCAGAGGGATTAAACAAACCCGCAGATGAAGTATGTCATCAGAGGTATATTTCAAAAGGAACAAGAATCACTTGATGTTGAGAATAAATGAGATGACAATGATGTTGTTGAGTGTAAAAGTGAAAACAACAGGGGACAAGAGAATGAGATGAGAGGCAGTAAACAAACAGGAGATTAAACATTGGTAACGGGATATATCAGGAAAAATAAGAAAAGGTGGATGACAAGGCAGAGGGGAACAGGGAGACTGAACGGGAAGCGGATGAACAAACAAGAGATTAAGTGTGAGTTACAGCAAATATCAAGGGAGAGCACGCGTAAAGGCAGATGACAAGACCGATGGAAGACGGTGGAGGGGAATGTGAGGAGGAAGAGGCAGGAGAGGGATTGCTTTAGCGGAAAAAAGAAGACAGTTGTGTTGTCGTATTTTTCTTTTCCCTCCCCTCCAATGTGAGGTTTTCCTTTTGAGCTCTGTTTGGCAGCACTAGTCACATGCAGAGCCAATAAATGCCAGTGGATTATGAATTGAAGGAACCCAGAGAGACAAAAGGCGCCTGAGTCGAGCAAAGTAGATATTAAGTGCGAGTTACAGCAAATATGAACAGAGTGCCATTAAAAGAAGATGTGGAGACAGTGATGGGAGGGCAAGCTGTTAACGGTGAAATACAGATGAAACGGAGGAGGAGTGTTGGAGCGTCAGGCTTTGGCCTTCCTCTTTGATCTGTCTTCTCTTGTCTCAGCCTCACTTAGCGCTGACAGAACACAGCCAACGTGATTACAGCTCACAGAGGCGAGGCCACACATCAACGCTACGACAGGCTGCTCTCTGAGTGAACGGGTGAATATGTGTTTGTGTAGACATTTAGTTTGGTAGAAACAACCTATGACTACAGAACTTTGACAAGGTCAGATAGACAGTAGCAGATTTCAAATGTTATTGTTTGTGTCCTACATACATGTAAGAGAATGATTGGGAGACGGAGAGAGAGAGGCTGAGAGTGATGAAAAGGACTGAACATTAATAGCAGGCAGCACACCATCAGAGAGAGACAGACAGACATGAAGGGGTAGAAGAAGTCAAAGTCGGGCTTATTAAAAGCCTCAGGTCCCCATAGATGATCATACAGTCACCTCATCACCCTGATCTGTCCAATAGCAAAAGTCTCTGTCAAAGTTTGAGCAAGAGTTTAACCGATTAGAGACTGCTCAAATGGCATTAAATGGTGTTCATTTTAAACTGTGATCATCTTACAAGGCTTAGACAATACAATAATGAAATGTTATATTCTATCCATGGAAGCGGATCATTTCTAGCTATTGTAAGGACAATGGCCCATCAAGTGAACATAGACACATTTGATCATATCATTCTCTTTGTTCCATTAATTAATTTCACAATAGGAAGTAACTAACATTATACGTGTCATCTTAAGGACCTAGGTACAAAAAAAGCAATCAAAATGGGTAATTGCATGAAGAGCTAAATGTGAGATGAACATAAGGAGTAGGTCTTGAATCAAATTGTGAAGACTCGAAGTCAATGTGTTAATGGCTACAAAGATGCGTGCACATCCTTAATTGTTTGAAAATTGGAAATCTGTAATACAAAAAAATAGTATGCAATGTAAGTTCCAATATTGTATTGTTGTGATTGGGTAAGAAACATACTTCAATTCACTAAATGCTACAGTATAATAAAGATTTTCTCAACAACTTTTGTTCTGGATTACTTGTAGAAAGTGGTGTTGTGTAATTATGGTTTCTTGGGTAAACAGACCAGACTGGGTTACATCTCATGACAATTATGAACATGCCCACTGCCCCCAATGAAGATCTGAGGAGATTTAGTTGAGCTGCAGAATTGATCATTATTTATGTTACTCTCAGCAGGGGTGTGATGAGAGTTTGGAAGAGGTGAGATGCAAAGACTGGCACAGTAAAAGAAACGGTTCACATAACGCAACATCAAACTGTATCGATATGAACAGTATTTTCTCATCCTACATGTCATTGGAAATTAAATCAATATACCTTAAAAGCTCCATATACAGCCTGCACCTAAATCCCTTCAAAGCCAATACTTCCTTATAAAGTAATACTACCATTTACATGTACCACTCAACATTACTTAATACCTGTAATCCAGCAACCTGCAGCTAGCCGCCGTGATGTTCACACACTGAGCAGCTTCATTGGATTTCTACTTAGTGAAAACTGCCTTTGAATATCTGTTAAGCCTCCGATGAGTCACAGATGATGTTTAATGAAAGTTGTCTTTGCAAAGAAGCTGACACACATCGTTTAAATAAATAAAAAACACCAACAGCTCAGGGTTATTGACTATTCAGTGTTTCAGGTGCTGCAAGAGAGTTTTATGGAGCTGAATATTTGTGTTCACTAGGCGTTTGGAGTAATCAATATCTCATAATTGACAGAGATGAGACTTTGGAGTTAATTCCATGATGAAGTCAACATGAAACTGTATAATGATAGCAATGACACGTGACATAGTGTTATATTACATGGCACGTGTCAATGTATTACATTATAACTCTGCCTTTGGTCATATCCTCCAGTTGGTAAGTCATGTTAGAGTTATTGTTCAGTAAGAATTCATGCATGTGATATTTTACACAATAATGTGACTTTCATATTCAATCTTAATCTGCTAACAACTACATTAAACAGGCAGACAGCTAAACGCATTTTACAGATAAAATCACGAGTAGTCTGGTAGTATTATTAGCTTTATATAAATGGAAGGTAAACAGGTAATATGGGCAATTTCACCAATGAAAAGCGCTCTAATCAATATGTTCATATGCAGCTGATCCTGTAGTTTGTTTAAGAAGTTGCTACTACATTGGTTTGTTATACACCCCACAGTGTGTTCATGCTGCAGGTCATATTTGATGTTTTTTCCAAGATACTGTATGTGGGGTGCAGTGCTCTGACTGCAGATGCATTTGCCACCACATTTTAAGACAAAACAGGAAGAAATACATAAGGAAGATGGTGGGCTGAAAAAAAGATGAACTCACTTCTTGTTGCTGGTCTGTTTGCCCTGTGCGGCGCAGCTGTAATTTCCGAGCTGTGTACCGAAGCGAAGCGACAATGCGGTGTCACAGTCGTCCACGCTCACCACGGCAATCTTCTCATCTGACGGACCCTGGGCCTCGCCGCTCATACTGCGCTTGGGCTGAACACAAACAGATGATTGAAAACAGAGTACCGGGAAGCAAAAAACAAGAAACGCCATGACACCAGACAACATGCAAGAAATGAAACAGCATTTGCTAAATCTGGAGGTTTATATCACTGCAGTCAAACACTACACAATAACATCAGATTAGATTCAATATCTACGCTGCTACTGCACATCAGGTTAGAAAGAAAAGGGGAACATTTGAGTTAGTAACACACACTGAGGATGGGTAGGAAAATAATGGAGTAAAATAAGATGGGCAACACATTCACTCTTTACTTACTGTGCGCTGGTGAAATAAAGAAATGCAGAAGGAGGAACAGAAAGAAAAAGAAAAAGAGAGAAGGATGTGTATGTGCACCCTGTCACACACTCATACTCACATAGCGTGTAGCTGGCTGAGGAAATGAAAGAATATGAAGAAAATTAAAGGAGATGTGTGGCGAATATGCATGAGTGGAATGGTTTCAAGCAAACGCCCACATGAAAGTATGCACACACAAACACTTCATCTGGACTCAAAGTGCAGTGCAAATAATCACAAGTAAAACATCAAAGAATAGCTGACAACAGAAACAGAAAATGTTAGATCAGAAATCGAAATGGTGTATGACACACAGATGTAGACGCACCTTGTTGTAGTAGTGGATGTGCACAGTGTGCCAGTTGCCATCGCTCACACCGCCGGGCAGGAAGGGACTCACCTGGGTGGAGGATTCACCTGCAGGAGGACCCAGGGAGTATGTGTCAAAACTTAACTAGGTCATAACGATAATTTAAAGGTACATTACAAATAGATTTTTGAAAATCTAAATGGACTTATTAGTGCTTTGTTTGCATTTGGTTTCATACGAGTACATTAAGCCCTATAAATGATTTTATATGGAAAATAATTGTTCAAATCTTTTATACCCTTCTATTTACCGCTTCAATTGTACAGGTAACAAAACATTTATGCAAAACAACAAAAAGTTGTTGTTGGCAATGGTTAGCAGGCTGAAGCAGCAGGAGAAATATGATGACTTAACTATATGACTGCTATTTAGGCTCTTTACTCATTACATTATTGTGGTTTGCCATTCCTGCAGTGTGGACTTAACCAAAAAGAACACAAATCACACTGAAAGAGTGTGCATTTCTCAAAGTACCACATTTGACTTATCTCACCGAAAATGTTGAGTAAACCCTCCCACCCTCCACATGTTTAGATCAAATCTGTGTCCTTACCCTACTCCTAAAACATAAAGAAATGAGACATACACTTTCAGAGAAAACCCACACATGTCTCTTTCTCTGTGGGAATGTTATAAATAGAGAAATACTAGAGCCCCACAGAAACACAATCACACATAAGGTTATACTGTTTAGTACCTGTGGAGTATTTGAGCACCACTTGTCCCTCTTGGATCTCCAAGGCGATGAAGTCGTGCTTCTCATTGAAGCGTCCGTTATAGAAAAGAAGACCACTGTTCTCCAGGGTGGCAAAACTAGAAAAATATCACAGACATAAACCATTATAAATATAGTGCATGTAATAGGAGTATTTATATTAATGATCGTCCAAAAAACACAGTCAAAATAAATCAAGTATACTGTACGACCCAGTCACATTTTATTTCAACCAGCAATACAAACAACTCCTGTAAGCCTCATCAAAGGTTGAGTATAGAGGCAGGCTGCAGGCCTCCTCTCCCTCCAGCTGCTCAGGAGAGTCATACTTTTTTATAGCAAGGCCGAGGGGACATGGGGAGTCCAAGGCTGCCATGTTAACACACCCTGATCAAAAGAAGATGTTGATACTACAGCACAGATGACACATCTTCCCTCCTGGCAACAAGATGCAGGGAGACTCACACTGCAAAAAGATGCCTTCATCTAGTTGCAACATGTTTCCATAATACCCACTGCAAAAAAATATTCATCCAGTCTTAAAATGTTCTGAAAATAAATGTCTTCCTATATGAACTTATGGCATAAACTGAAGTCCTTTGGGAAAAATCTTTATTGTTAGTATCTCTATTTTCCATCCTTGGCTTTAACATCTACCAGAGATCAATGTGAGAGTAACAATATCTGCATCACTGCAACACAGCAGTGTGGAGAAGAGCACTTCATCAATACTTCTATCACACTTGTATACGCCTGATATCTGAGAATCTCGTCATTGTCTAAAATAAACCCTGGGTTATTTAATAGCTAACATGTGTCCTCTTTACATGCTCTGCTGTAGCTCCAACAGCATTGTGGCATCCTATCTAGTTGTACGAAGATGTCATCTCTTCAAGCCATTAGAAAAAGATGGGAAAAGAAGTGTAACATGAGCTTTGCAGAGTAAATGGAGACTGTGCATGGATTCAGTAAAGCAATAACGTGCATTAAGGCTTATCAGACATGCATTCAAATGTGTATTTCTTCAATTCTCTCAGCTGAGCAGCTACTGACAACTTGAAACATACAGTAGTTGCAGCACCCTCCTACACACGATTTGCATTCATTAGGACATATCGGTAACGTTCGATAAAATCTGAGGCAGAGTTACCGCTACTGAACGTCTCAAGCTGCTTTTGGGTGAAAGATGAAAAAAGGATATTTCTTTACAGTGGAGAAATAAACTGCTGGGGGAGAAAGTGTGTGACATGAATAATGAGTGAGTCCTGTTTGGCCCTGATGTGGAATCCAGGCCAAGGAGTTTAGCCAGCAGCAGACAGGAGACTAAATTAAACACTGACGTGAGGGGAAGAAGACTCCCAGTCAGTGCATCTACTGTACAGTTTAGATCGGACAAAATAGTATAAACTATACCCAGAAAAAATTAGATTAAGATCAACAGCTTAACTGTCTGTCTCATGAAAGCTTTAGAAATGCTCAGCCCTCAGCCAATCACCGCTGATTCTGTCAATTCTTTAAGAAGGTAGCTGAAGACATACCTGTTGGATAAATGTTAATGTAAATTGTATAAAATGTAGTATTTTTCACTTTGTGTTGTGTGCTCAGGTAGTTATATCTATGATTTTCTTCCTATAATTTGAACAGTGCCCTTGTCAAGCACTTTGTGTAATTTGTCTGTGGAAAAAGCTTTATGAATCCATCTCACTTACTTAGTAGAGCAACACACTGAAACTGCTACAATAGGGCAGGGCAGGGCTGAAGTAGAACACAACATCCTTTTAAAAAGACACCCTGATGGTACAGTAGTTGTAGCTGCTCACTTTTCCCACAGTTTGGGAGTTTTAACAAAGCTGCCACCATTACTCCAAGGGGAGAAACGCCTCTTAAATTCTCACAAAGTAAGCTTCTCTTCAACAACGAACCAGCCACATCGCACTTGAATCCTTGACTTACAATCACTGCCAGACTGGTGGTCACAAATCAATGAAACAGATCCTATGTCATGGCTTCACGCACCAGCAATGCACACAAATTAATTTGGCCAGAATACTATGAACAAAAAGTCTCATAGCAACCACTCCATGGTGGCCACACATGCCTAGCAACAACCACATGGGCAACGTCACCTTAGCAACTATCATAAGACGACATCACCCATGGCAACCATCCCATAAGTCCACTCTTAAGGAACACTTTAGATATCCCTTGGACGACCAATCGCATTTCAAGAGGTGAATGAGCAGCAGTGGGAAAGACAAAGACTTGGCCGTCAGGAAGGAGGCGATCACTGACTTCTGCAGAGACATATTGTTTCATCTGCAGTCAAAGAAAGCAAGCTGGGGCTAGGTAATGAACCTGGCAAAGCTTAAAGACATGCAGGTAGAACTGATCTCACTCACGTCTCTACAGGTTGCACTTAATTGTTCATATTCTTGTGATAAAACTTCAGCTGAAATGTTTTTATCTTAAAAGAAAAGGCTAACTACGAGCCTGGTTTCCAGCAACAAAATTGAAAAAAATGTACTGCAACTCAAATTAGTTTTGTTGTCGTGTTTTTTGTAAGTGCGAGATAACTTTCTTGAGAGTTTTGACCCCTTCATAGAGATAGCATCGGGTCACAAGAAACACAGCATTTGACTTTGGAGCCTTTGCTGGAACAGAGAGGTCTGAAACCGGAGCATGCAGGGGTGATAAGATGTAAGATAAGAAGAGAGAGTGGAAAGTAAGAGAGCAGAGGAGATGTTACTGAAAGCAGTACATTGACGGATGAAAGGGGAGAGAGAGGAGAAAACCGCACATCTAACTGGAGAGGAGAGGGAAACCATGAATAATAGGATCGATCTTTGAGATGAAATAAATAGATTAAAGCAAAGAGGGTAGAGAGACTCCGAAAGAGGAAGAGAAATGAGAATCAAAAGGAGTGGTTATGGATCTCTATCTGAGTGCAACTGCACGAGGAGAGATGGAGGCTGATGGAAAAGAAGGAAGGTAGCAAAATCCAAACAAAAATGTCAAAAATATGACAAGACTGAGAAAAGATCAAACGTCTAATCTACTCACGTTAAGGAGATGGACAGGTGGAATCTCTGTCTGAGGCCCCGGAACATGGCGAAGGACTTGGGAGGGAAGGAGCGGGCGGTGACGGTGCAGTACGGACGCTCGTAGCCTCCGGCAGGACACTCGCAGCGGAAACCTCCGCCCGAAAGCTCCCGACACGTCCCTCCATTACGACACAAACCCGGAACACACCTGCCCTGCCGCCGGTCAAACTCACACCGGTCACCTGGGGGTAAAAGATAAAGCATTTTTATTATAAATTCATGACTTATACCTCCGTTCAACCTCCCTGGGAGTTGCAAAAACACTATCACAAAATGAAAGTCAGTGGGAGAAGTCTTATCCATTTATTATCAAAGAATTCACAAATGATATTGATCTAAATTATTTTTATTTTATTCAAGCATCTTTTAGTGTATCAAAATAAAATGATAACTTGTTTTTGTTTAAGGGCAGATTTTCTCTTCAGTATCTTTTTGCCATTTTTGAGCTTTTTTTCAACTGAGACTGCAGGAAATGTATTATCATAAGCTCTGACCCCACTGCACTCACTGGCATGTCCTTCACAACAAACACATGCTGTGTAACCAATCAAACCAGGGCAAACAGACCAGAGTAAACAGAGCTTTACTTCCAATGTAAGTTCAGACCCTAAGGCGTACATGCTACATTTTAATCATCGTTGACCTAAAATATTGTGAGGACTATTATTAATATCATTAGGATGGAAGAATGGAAGGAAGGAATAACTTGAACTTAGTATAGCTCTACACGTCCTGTTGGACCAACAGAGTACGATCTGACTGAGTCTGATACAGGGTATATGCAGGAATCCTCAAGTCAAATGTAATACCTTTTAAGACCCTTTCCATACATTTTAAGACCGCATCGCCACTTTCAGTTTTAACCGGTTACATTGGCGACACTTTACCTCACATTGACTATATACAGTTGTGATTGTCCTTCCTCCTTATCTTCCAACCATTTGGACGCAAACTTGCATTTCCCCATAACGATGTTGTTTACCAACCGGCGTAAACGGACCTTCGCGCGCTATCAAGCAGTGAGCGCACGATGTCCTGTTCAGATGACGTCAAATCCAACGGGATGCCATAAATAAACTACACAGAATCACACTACACACCTACGCAATGATTACATTAAGGCACACTTTAGAATACAACCTCTTTGGACAATTTATATACTTATTGAAAACAATCTACAAAATGTAATACCTTGGAAAATGCCGTTTAATACTTTTTAATAGCCTTAATTTTCGCTAAATTGATTTATCAACTTTTAATACTTTTTAAGACCCCGCGGACACCCTGTGATAACTGCAAACTGTTACTGTACTGTAAGTTAAGGTAGCTTTGAGATTGTTAGTTCATTTAGCTGGATACGGTTGAATGAAATTGCTGCTAAATGAATATAACAACAGAGTTACACCCTGAAAGACCCTGAAGGCAGGGCATACTTATCTACACACAAACAGTAGATACGTTGATTTTGAAGCTATTTTAAAATGGTCATACATTCAGAAATGCAATCACCGTTATTGCTATTGACAGGACCTTGAATACACACAGCATTAAAGCCTTCTGTAGGTTTTGAAGAAAGATACTTGAAATTGCCCCAATCTATGAAGCTGTGGTTGGTTTTTCCATGCGAACGGCTTAAGAGATCGCTGCTGGTTGTATTTCAGGCTTTATATATACAGTCTATGATTTCAGGCAGTGAGCTGCACTCAGCAGACGCTTTAAATGTAAATGACTTGATTAAACTGTGGAAACAGCAGGGAGCTGATTCCTGAGGAGCAGGAGTCAGAGCAACTGTTGTAGACGATCAACCTTACAATCCTTTAAATGAACAAAGAATAGAAGTTATACCAAAAAACAGCTGGACAAATACTCAGTGTACTGTATTTTAAAGTGTATGTCTGCAGCAGAAAGGGGGCAAAAAGTATTTTCCTGCAATCTGCAAATCTGTTGCTTTAGTGTGTGAAAAAAACAACACAAAGAAGAATAAACACTGATTTGGCTGCCAGTCAAACAAGCGCCAGTCTGAAGTGTCTCGAGAGGCAAAAACACCCACACAACCCACACAAACACGGATACACACATATACACAATCACCCACATACAAAGGTGTGTAGGAGTATTTGTTTTTCACTTTTCCTTGAGCATATTTGGACACACACATTGTCTGACATTAAGCATCTGCACAAAAACACACACACCCAGTGCACTCCATATAAACACAGCAGACATGGTTTATAACTAGCCTTCAGACACATGCCTCCTCAAGGATTCATTTAACAACCTGCCTACAGCACGCGCACACACACAGACACACACAAAACACAACCACACAAAATATCAGGTAAACAAACCAAAATGCATTCTCATTAATAAAAGATGTAATGGTTTTCAAACAAAGATGATCACACCTTCAACCTCTCTAATATTACGCTTGTTTTCATTTTATTTCTGTTTCTCACACACACACGCACACACACATCATTTCCCCCTGCCCTCAAGGCTGTCGGGTTTTATCATGTAGCCGTCTCTGTTGGCACTGTTTGTGCTGCTTTTAAATGCCAAAATGCCCACTGGCAGGGTCCTCACAGCCTCACACAAAAACGCACACACACACACACAATCATGAGCAACCAGACACACAGATGACGAACAGTGCTGCTGTTGTAAGTCAACAGAAGCCTTCAGCTTTCCTCATGATCGTTTGGACACAAACAGTATCTGACATACACAAGACATGGACACACAGACAATCTCTGACACACACACACACACACACACACACACACACACACACACACACACACACACACACACACACACACACACACACACACACACACACACACACACACACACACACACACACACACACACACACACACACACACACACACACACACACACACACACACACACACACACACACACACACACACACTGATGCTGACTTTGTGTGACACATACAACACAGACTGAACCCCACAGTGAGATTGTTGGAGAGAATCAGAAGGTTTAACATGCTTGAATTACATCAGTCTATCCTCCTCTATGTCAGGGATCAAAACTGCCAAAATTGAACATGCTCAACTTTGAAGATAGCGAGCAAAGTAGGGTATTATTTTACTCAGGATTCTGCTCGACATTTTGGGCAAAATGTAGAGAATATCAGAACATAAGATTGGTTGGCCCTAGTAATGGCACACAACAACAGAACAATATTCAACTATCTTTCTATTCAACGTCTGTTATGATTTTTCCCCCATGTTTTATCTTTCTCCATTAATTCTCTTTTTTCTCCTTCTCAATGCTTCACCCAGTGTTTCCCACACATTGACTTGACTTGGGTGTAATGCCCAGGTACTGTATGTGAACCTCCGCCCAATTGGGTTGTACTTGCAAAACATTTTTATATTTTTTTAATTAACCCAAACGACACTATCCAAAATGAATTAACTGTTGGCGGCGGGACGTTGCTCCCTCAGCTGTCTGGGAAGGACTCACTGGGGGAAACGGGAGCCATGCAATCCACTCAGCTGGGAATTGATCCCAGTTTGACCTACGGTACATCACTTTATTTCGCCACGCCACGTCGCTCCTCGTGCCACCGGGCAGCCGATATCTGCCAGTTACTGCCTGACAAACATACTCCCTCACACCAATACATCACCCTGAGGACACACACACACACACACACACACACACACACACACACACACACACACACACACACACACACACACACACACACACACACACACACACACACACACACACACACACACACACACACACACACACACACACACACACAACACACACACACACACACACAGAGAGACACCCGGTCAAACACCCAGCTCAGCAAACAATAGCCCAAGGACATTAGAATGATCACATCTGTCTGTCCTTGTTAAGCTTTTTCTCATCTTCTCTCCCCTCTCACATTAAACGTATACCTCTATGTAAGTACACACAACAGGGAACCAATTAAATAGAGAAACACACACACACACACACACACACACACACACACACACACACACACACACACACACACACACACACACACACACACACACACTCCCTGTCTTTGTCTGTTGCATCCATGCATCCAGACAGACCCTCCTCATTAATATTAAAATAAATAAATAGACATTAACACTCGTGAATTATGCGTGTGGTGAGAGTTAAACACACACACACACCTACAAAATCAAATGCTGGGTTAATTATGGATGCCCAGTTGCACAGAGGTTGGCAGGCTGGCATGAAATATATTGAAGAGGGAAAATGGACAGAAACACAAAAACACATAAAGACTGCAGAACACACACACAGAATAATGAGAGACAGTAAAGCAGAGCAGACATGATCTCACACTGACTCAACAAAATGCTCTCATGTCTTTTGCCCAGACAGTGCGAAGGCGTCCACTTCACAGAGGCTCTTACAAATATCTCTAGGCAAAGGAAACACACACATATAGCAGGACAGAGAGTCACCTTAAGTGTGTTCAGGACATCCTCATTCTGCTCAGCATGCAGACTCACATGGGCACCAAGGGCAAGCGAATACTAGAGAAACAGTGTGTCCGACAGAAAGATGGCACTTTGAAATTCCAGATCTGTAAAACCCCAAATTTGAGAGGCTGGAACCATTAAATATATTATAATTCTGTTTGATAAATAACTTAATTGAATAATTGATTGCAAAATTGTTGTTTATGACTTTCGTAATAACCAAAAAGCGTTATTATTTTCCTATTAGCCTAATTTATGTTGAATATATTTGCCCTGTAAGCAGGAGTCCTCAAAGGTATCTTCATTTCAACCAGCTACAATATTGAAATGTTGCTTACAGGTTAATGCATCAGTAACACGTTCAGTGGTGTATACCAGTTGTAAGAGAACCATTTTGGATAACAAAAGTATTTTGTTTGTAACACTTCTGTTGTCAGTCAAATGTAGAATGCTTTTATATGTAATAGGGTATTTAGGTATTATCTCCACCACACACATCCACAAAGACTTCAAAACATAACAGGCAACCCACCAAACAAAAAACTATAAAATAATCTCTCAATGCTTCCTTTCCCCTTCCTCTCTTCCCATATCTTGCCATTTCATGTTTTCTTTTCTTCCTCCTCTCCGCCTGCTTAATGCATTCACACCACCCCTTCATTCAC